TTTGGGTGAACCGCCGCAATATATACAGTAGTAGCAATATCACACAAGTAGCAATGTGATATGGCTGTATATTGGCGGGAGGCGTGCGTTGGTGCCTTAGTGTCCCACCAGTGACAATAAACAGCCATATCACACTGCTATGAGTGTGATATTGTGTTTATACAACAGTATGACGGTATAATTGTGTGTATAAAAAGAAAATCAAACACGGAGAGTCTAAAAACCCTGTTGTATGAGGAACTACTTTCTTCTGCCCTTGCCATTCTACCGTTATTAAATGACAACGTCACTTTAGAGCTAGTATTTGAATGACTCTCTAGTGTAATGTCTAAAACGATGATTAAAAAAAGGAGATTTTACTGACATTATAAGGCTGAACGACATGAAATGCCATCAGTCTACAGAGATTTCCGATCCTTGCGATAAGGAAAAACACTAAACACATGCGGGCATTTCTTCTTTCTTTTTACTGAACTAGTCTGCAGTAACAAAAACAGGAGACTCATTAAAAACAAACAGATGGCCAACCAAAAAGTAACTCAGGGTTATACAAAGAGTGACCAACACAAAATACATACATTTCAGATATGTAAGTCTCATCTCACACTCAATACACTACAAGCACTATGGTATAATTGCAACACTACAACATACAAAAGAGAGAGATCGACTTAGAATGTCACTTACCAGTTTAATAATGATTTGATCAGCTGTAGTTTAAAAAAAACGCCAACCTTTTCTTCTCTAAGGGGTTATTATGCAGTCTCTGTCACCATCTTGTGGATGGATAACATCAACCATCTTTTCCTGATGGATATCGACACACTGTTTCTTAGTATCTGTATCACTGTATCTAATAGGCACTATCCTTATAAATAAACTTGCAATCTATATAACTACATCATCGCCTAAAAAAGCCCCAAAAGTAAATTGTTGTCCAACAGCTGCAATATTTGTCAAACTGTAGAAGGTTTATTGATCTGTTGTCCCTCTATGTAGGCGGAGTAATACTGAAGGGTGAGGAGGCTGTATGAGTGCTGATATTGCAGAATATTGCACGGCTTTCAGATTCGAAAACCAGATAGAACTCTAAGGGCCCTGTCATACACCTGGCGCAAGGCGCGACGCAATTGTTTTCTAGTTTCAGCTTGGCGCAAGAGTCGTTTTGACGTTTTGTGCCACGCTGTTTAAATAGTAAATGCGTTTGTGCTCATATGTGCTCCCATAGGTGTTCTGGTCTAAAAAGGAGGCGTGTTGAGGCGCGTTGCTATTTTAAGTAAACTGTAATAGATCTATATTACTATAATTAGATCTATATAGTTCTATAGACCAGAACAAAGCGAAGATTGCGTTAGTTGTGTGCCTTCCCTACGCATTGCTTAATACAGACAGGATGTACAGCAAACTGCAAATATCTTTACAAATGAAAAAGAATTAAAACGTTAGGGATATTGTCACCGACTCGGTCCCAGTCATTCCCCTCGCTGGCCAGCAGAGGCCGCCATCTCAGGACTTCTAACATTACATCATCCATCCACGTTGATTGTGCTCACACCTGTTCTGAATCAAACTAACGACCCACGTACCCTTTATAAGCCAGCTCCAAATGCTCAGTCAGTGCGAAGTCTTGTTTAGCCCCGGCCAGCATTTCTGAGCGTTATTCCTGCCTGATTCCTCGTGTATTACTCCAGCCTGTTTCTGACTCTGCTTCGCCTTCTGCCTGCCCACGACCCACGCCTGATATACGGACTCTAATATTCGCTGCCTGCCCACGACCCACGCCTGATACACGGACTCTGATACTTGCAGCCTGCCCTCGACCCATGCCTGGTAGAACTCTCTATGTCTGTTCATCGCCAGTCTTTATCCATCATAGACTGTTGCTGTTGTGTGTTTGCACGTTAGTGCATATTGCGTGTGAATGAGAGCTTGATATATAAATACTGCATAATGAATCCCTCCGTGTCAGTCTCCTCGTTACAGATATATGGGATATAGTAAGGATACATAGCCTATAGGATAAAAATATAAAGAATTAAATTATTACAAAACATTATTTTCTAGCCTACTTAAATATAAAAATCATACTTTCATGCTTTCATCTCTGGGGCTTTTTCAGTTTATTCATAACAATTTGCTTTTGTATAATATTATTATTAGCAGAATTATTTATTATATGCATATTCATTCATTCATTTTCTTGTCGGCTTAGTCCCTTTATTAATCTGCGGTCACCACAGCGGAATGAACCACCAACTTATCCAGCACATTTTTATGCAGCGGATGCCCTTCCAGCCACAACCCATCTCTGGGAAACATCCACACTCATACACTACAGACAATTTAGCCTAGCCAATTCACCTGTACCACATGTCTTTGGATTATGGGGGGAACTGGAGCACCCGGAGGAAACCCACGCGAACGCAGGGAGAACATGCAAACTCCACACAGAAACGCCAACTGACCCAGCCGTGGCTCGAAACTGCGACCCAGCAACCTTCTTGCTGTGAAGCAACAGCACTACCTACTGTGCCACTGCGTCGCCTTTATATGTATGCATATTTATATTTGTTTTATTAAAAAAAAGCTCAGATTTACCCACCTATTTCATTTTATTTTGGTAGAAATGGGCTCTGAAATAGGCTTGGTTATCAGGAAAATTGTATGAGAAAAATCAGATTTTTGAGCCAATCAATCCAGAGCATGTTCCCCTGGAGTTATGGATTAAGTATGACTTTATTAATTGTCATAATTTGAACGTATCTCATAACTATTACTTAGTATCCCACTATGTGGATATTTTATTTTAGAATTTTATCAAATCATTATTTTATTTTATTTTTTTATTTAAATTTTTATTTAATTTAATTTAATTTTATAAATCACCTCTTAAAATGCTCGGTTATCAGTAAAGTCATATGAGAAAAAGCTGATATTTAACCAGATCAATAATGAGCATGATCTCCAGGGCACGGTTTTTCAAAAGTAATCCACTAGGATTTTGGATAAGGGATTGGATCAAATCTTGAAAATGGGTTTTTCAAAAGAAAAAACAGATTACATAATCGGATTAGATCACGTAATCCAATCTTTGTTTTGATCCGGATCAAACCTTTAGTTTGGGTTTTTCGGACCTTTTTTGTAGGATCTGGATCACTTTGATCCAAAAAACATGGATTAAACGGATCCCATCAGAAGGGTGGATTTAGCGTGGATTTCATGCCTAAAATGTCATGAAAACCTAAAAACTTTATTAAACAATACTATTTTTGGATCATGCAGTATCTTACGAGATATACTATTTATTCATAAGGTTTTAATTTTATTTGTTCATCTGTCAGGCTATAGTGATTATTGGCTTTAACGTATTTAGCCTTTCTGTATAGGCCTCCAGCAAAGTAGAAAGAGTTTGGCCTCATAAAATAACCACCCAAACAGCTGTCAAAACTGACCAAAAACAATACATTTTATTCCGTCACTAATTGATATATATATATATATATATATATATATGTATTCATCACAATGGAAAATATTTTTCTTATTAGAATATTTATTAATGATGATAGCAATGATTACAGAATAAACAAAAATTGCAAGAAATGGCAATGACTGATTTTTGAAATCTTTTTCAACAATTGCAAAAAGAGACTGAAAGGGCAGAAGCACAGCTTCGTCTGGCAGAGAAACAACTGACTCTAACCAAACTGCAGCAAACCAAGGCCAGACTTGAGATCCCCCTCCTAAAGGATACGCTTCACATCAGATGAGGAAGTCTGAGATTATTGTGGAGTTTTTGACATTAAGTATTTTTTAAATTTACATCTATATTTGAAACTTATTATAAATATCCTCAATGTACAGTGTTTGTGTTGTAGGTCTCAGATGAGCGGACTGCTGGAAAAGGATGGGGTGGGCTTTTTCTTGTTTTTCTTATTTATTATTATTATTAATTTAATATTTATTACATTTTCTTAGTTTTCATAAAAAAATAAATAAATTATATTGACCCCACGCTGGCTATTCTACTTGTCGCTCTTTACATATCTATAGTTCTACATTGTGATTTCCTATCCTATTTGAGCACTGGTAATCCAGATTTAGTGATCCTGAAAAGTTCCTATCCAGATCAGATTGATCCAATCCAATGTTGCTTTGAAAAACTGGCTCAAAAAGTAAGCTGGATTACCTGATCACAGATCGCAAAAACAGAATTAATAAATCTGGATCAATTTAATCCAGATTAAACCTTTTGAAAAACCGGGCCCTGGTGTTATGGATCAAGTAGGACTTTAATAATTGTCACAAGTTTGACTTTTTTCACTATTGCTTAATATCTCTTTAGTATCTTACTCTGTATCTAATTTTATTTATTTAATTTATTATTATTATTATTATTATTATTATTATTTTATTAATTTAATTTAATTTAATTTAATTTAATTAATTTTTTTATTTTATTTTATTTTATTAATTTCATTTCATTTAATTTATTTTCTTTAATATTTCTTTTAATTTATTATTTTTTTTACATTTTTGATTCATTTGATTTATATATTTAAGTTATTTTTTATTATTAATTTAATTAAAAAAATTTTTTGTAATTTTATTTTTATTTATTTTTATTTTTTTATTTTATTGCCTCCCAAAGTCCTCGGTTACCAGGAAAACCATGTAAGAAAGCTGATTAGTCCAGAGCATGTTCCCCTGGTGTTATGGATTTCCTGCACAGGTTATGGATCTGCACTGTATTCTCTATGACACAAAGCATGGAAATGTTTGTGTGTGTTGGCGTGCGTCAGCAGGTCTTCATCCACACACACTTTCTCCTTGGTCTCCTGAAGAGTGGCGTCCTCATCAGAGATGCCAGCGCACCTCCTGTTTCCTTTTGGTCATGACACTTTGTACGGGTCATTTATGCAATAACCGCCCCTCTACGCAATGGGACGACCCCCTGGGGAGTTTAGCCTCCCTATAACCTCTCCGTTTGACACTCGGAGGAACACTTGACTCAGAAACACCATGACACGAGTCTGCATGGGGATGATGATGATGATGATTAAGATGGTGCTTTTCAGTGGCCTGTTCATGTCTGGTCTGGCGTTTGACATGCAGCTTGTAAAAGGTAAGATCTGCCTCGAGCATTTATTTATCGACTGTGTCTTTTATTAGATTTATAGATGGAGTGTTTTGATTATATGCAATGATTTTAGTAATGTGACTTATAAATGTTGATTATATATGCACCCTGGACCACAAAATCACTCATGGGGTCTTTTTTTAATAATAAGCTTTCCATTATAAGTTGTTAGGACATGGAAATACTTGACTACTGAAAAATCTGCAATGTGAGGGTTAAAAAAACTAATTATATAGAAAATGATTCACAATTAGTCTAAACCAAACGCTTAGCAATGCACATTACTTATCTAAAATTATGATCTTTACTTAATATTATTGTGATTTTTGGCATAAATTTTGGCAATTTTATTCATACTATGTATTTTTGTATATGTAAAATGTTAAAACGTAGCCAATTTTTAGTTTTCAATACAATCGGTTTCCAACATTCTTCCAAATATCTCCTTTTTGTTAATAAATAACAATATTTTTGGATTTTGTTTGCAGTATTTTCCCCTTACTATGAATATTAATGACTTCATAAACGTCAACATTCTTCAAAATATCTTCCTTTGAACACTGCACCCTAAATAAACCAATATCCCTTCCCCACTATGAATATTAATGTTTACCAGTTTCCAACATTCTTCAAAATATCTTCCTTTGTGTTTTGGGTGAACTATGCCCTTAATGTACTACTATTGAAAAATCTGCAATGTGAGGGTTAAAAAAACTAATTATATAGAAAATGATTTTAATTAGTCTTAACCAAGTGCTTAGCAATGCACATTACTAATCTAAAATTATGATCTTTACTTAATGATCTTTACTTAAATAAAATCTATATATTTTTATTCATACTATGTATTTTTGTTTATGTAAAATGTTAAACGTAGCCAATTTTTAATTGTCATTACTATCGGTTTCCAACATTCTTCCAAATATCTCCTTTTGGTTAATAAATAACAATATTTTTGGATTTTGTTTGCAGTATTTTCCCCTTACTATGAATATTAATGACTTCATAAACGTCAACATTCTTCAAAATATCTTCCTTTGTGTTTTAAATGAGCTGTCCCTTTAATTTTTGTTACACAAAATCACAATTTTTCTTGTATGTTTTTCTCTGAGGAACGCTGCACCCAACGTAAGCCATAAATTTCCATAGTATCCCTTCCCCACTATGAATATAAATGGTTACCAGTTTCCAACATTCTTCAAAATATCTTCTTTTCTATTTTGGGTGAACTAAGGCTTTCATTTTTGTTTCACTAAATAGCAATATTTTGTCTGTTTTCTTCTGATGAGCACTACACCCTAAACAAGCCATTGACTTCTAGTATTTTCCCCCTTTTATGAATATAAATGGTTACCAGCTTCCAACATTCCTCAAAATATCTTCTTTTCTATTATGGGTGAACTATGGCTTTAATTTTTGTTACATAACATCACAATTTTTTGTCTGTTTTCTTCTGATGAGCACTGCACCCTAAGTAAGCCATTAATTTCCAAAGTATCCCCTCCCCACTATGACTATGAATGGTTACCGGTTTTCAACATTCCTTAAGATATCTTCTTTTCTATTTTGGGTGAACTATGGCTTCAATTTATGCTACGCAAAATAACAATAGTTTTGTCTGTTTTCTTCTGATGAACACTGCACCCTAAATAAACCAATGATTTCCTAGTATCCCTTCCACATATGAAAAGTAATGGTTACCAGTTTCAAACATTCTTCAAAATATCTTCCTTTGTGTTTTAGGTGAACTATGCCCTTAATTTTAAATGACAAAAAAAACAAAAAATTATTTTGCCTGTTACTTCTGATGAGCACTGCAACAGTGCATCCTAAACAACCAGTGAATAGTGCATCCTAAACAAGCCATGGACGTCCATTTGTCCCTATTATGACTATAAATGGTTACCGGCTTTCAACATTTTTCAAAATATCTTTTTATTTTTTTTAATTTTTTTTTTAAGTATTCATCAGAAGAAAAAAATGAAAAAAAATACCTTCAATACATTTTTTTGCATTTCTTCTTTTTCTGATGAACTCTGCACCCTAAACAGGCCATTGATTTCCATAGTATCCCTCCTATTTTAATATAAATGGTCATCACTTCCAAACATTCTTTAAAATACCTTCTTTTCAGTTTTATTACACAAAATTAATTTGCTACACAACATAACAAAATATATTTTTTTGGCATTTTTTTAAATCTGATGAATGGCCTACTTATTTCCCCACACTATAACACATAAATGCATAAACTGCATCAATTTCATCATTCTTCAAAACATCTTCTTTCGTGTTTTGAGTGAACAACCCCGCCTTTCATTTTTTTACACAAAATAATTATATTTTTGTGTTTTTTCGTTGCACCCTAAACCATTTCCCCCCTAGTCTGAATATAAATGGTTACCAGTTTCCAACATTCTTCAAAACATCTTCTTTTTGTTACACAAAATAACAATATTTATGATTTTCTTTTCTTGAATAGTCTACATTAAATGACTCATTGACTTCCATGGTATTTCCCCCTACAATAAATAAATAAATCACTACATAAATTTCAACATTCTTCAAAATATCTTCTTGTGTGTGTTTTTGGAATAACTATAGTTTAGTCTGCTTTCTTCTGATGAACAGTGCACCCTAAACAAGCCATCTCCGGGGTATCAGAAGCTTCCATTGGGAATCAATATGCTTTAAACGCATCATCAGCCAGAGATCTTTGTGAGCATCTCGGATTGACGATTGCAAACAAAGCACAGCTAGCAGAGGCTCAGAAACACGGCCTGGAGACGTGCAGGTAAAACACTGCTCAATTCTGAAAAGTCTGATCTGTTTAATGCGAGGATTTTTCATATTCCTCTTTTCAAATGATAGGTTCGGGTGGATCGATGAGCAGATCGCTGTTGTTCCTCGAGTCAAGGTTAACCCCAACTGCGGCAATGGCAAGACTGGGGTTGTGGTGTGGCGTGCAGATCCCAGCAAACAATTTGATGTCTTTTGCTTCAATGTAACCGGTAAACAATTTTAGTTCATTATGAATCATTTTAGAGACTGTCACATACACTGTAAAAAAATGTAATGACAAAAAGTCTAGAGAACAAACATTTTTATGCTGCTTTAATTGTTTTAAGTTAATCAGGTTTCAACTAAATTAAGTTATACAGTGTCTAACTTAATATTTTAGTCAGTTTGATTGATGTAAATTCAGATGACAAAAAACAAAAGTTTATTTTTATTCAACTAAAAAATCAGCAGATATGTATCTCATGAATAAATGTAATCATATTTTGCATAAAACACACCCTTATCATCTCCATATAAGGGCATTCCTGCACCGTCCAGTGATGGTTTTCATGTAAACACAGCAGATTTGATTTAATTATTAGTGTTTATATGGGTTTTTCCAATATAATCTTGCATCATTTACATTTTACGTTTACATTTAGACATTTAGCAGTCATTTTATTCATTCATTCATTCATTTCCATCTTTTGCTTGTTCATTAATTTCGTTTGCCCGTTTATTCAATTTGTTCGTTCATTCATTCCTTCGTTTGTTTATTCATTTCGTTCTTTTCGTTTATTTGTTCTTTGATTCATTCTATCGTTAGTTTGTTTATTCATTCGTTCATTCAATCCTTTCATTTGATCAATCATTCGTTCATACATTTCATTCGTTCATTCATTCGTTTCATTCTTTCATTTGTTCGTTCGTTCATTCATTCCGTTCATTTCTTCATTATTTCATTCGTTAGTTTGTTTATTTATTAATTTGTTCATTCAATTCGTTCATTCAATCATTTAGTTAATTTGTTCATTTTGTTCGTTTATTCATTCATTTCGTTCTCTCATTGGTTTGGTCATTAATTTCGTTCGTTCATTTATTCGTACTTTCATTCGTTCGTTAGTTTATTTATTCGTTCATTCATTCATTCTGTTCATTTCTTCATTCATTCATTTTCTTGTCATCATAGCGGAATGAAACGCCAACGTATCCAGAGGATGTCGTAACCCATGTCTCTGGGAAACATCCACGCACACTCATTCACACACACACAATACAGACAATTTAGCACACCCAATTCACCTGTACCTTATGTCTGAATTCATTCATTTATTAATTCGTTCATTCATTAATTCATTTCGTGAATTAATTCATTTTCAACGAGCACCCAGAGGAAACCCACCAAACGCACTCGAGGCTCGAACCAGCGACCTTCTTGCTGTGAGGCGACAGCACTACCTACTGCGCCACTGCGTCGCCATGTCTTTATTCATTATTTCGTTCATTCATTTTGTTCGTCTATTCATTCATTTTTTTCATCCATTCACACCTGGCAACCCTGACTGGCCTCGGTGTTGCCCGTGTCACTTGGTTGCTTGGGTGGGTGTGACCAGACCTTTTTAATTCTCCAAGTATAAGCAATTATTTAGCTAATATTTAAAAAATATAAGAATATTTTTATTCATTAATTTATTTTCTTTTCGGCCTAGTCCCTTTATGAATCCCTTTATTATTACAAAATAATGTAAACTTGACTCACTACTTCCACTTTAATTATCCCATTGCAAACAATATGTGATTTAAAATTACTTTTTTTTTTTTTTTTTTTTTTTACAAAATCTAACATGATTGCACAGCAAATCCTTATAAATAATGATAAATATAAGTATTGAATATAAATAATAAAGTAATAAATGACAAATTAAAGTAATAAATTCAAGCCTAATAAATATATCTATATAGAATCTGACCTGTGGCAATATATGCAAATTACATGCAGTATACAGTATATGAGATACATGTTTTAGCATATCATAAATTTCCTACATCTATGGATTTCACATATCGTAATATATCATAATGTTTTCACATATCATATTTCACATATAATAAACAAATATATGAGATATATATTTCAAAATATTGCCCTTTACATATATTTTTTCAACCACTGGAGTTACAAATATGTACATGTATGTTGAAATATGTATTTAAAGCTATAATTGTGTATACAGTATATGTTCGTTCATATATGGGCTCTTTCTGATACACATTTCTTTCTACGTAAGTGTGTGTGTTATTTGGCACCAAATCAGTACAAAGTGTTAGTGTGCCAAGGAAATCGGAAACTGTGGATGTGACATCATCACAGATTGGTTTCCTATGAGGGTCATGGATGTGGTAAAGCGGAAGAAAGTCAGAGAGATGAATTGGCAAACGCCTCATCAAGTTGAACATAATGTGCGTCTCATTGCCTGTTATGTAACAAGCCTGATTTATTTTTTATCTTTTTTTTTTTTTTTGTAGATTTTGAGACACAGGCTTCCATAAAGGTGCACCAAATGACAACCGGAAAGCCGATGACGACACGTTCATCTGTGGCTCCTACTGCTGGAGTTCATCTGAGGGGAAGCCCATTATCTAAACTCCCTTCCCATTGGTCCAGTGTTCCTCGTTCAGCGTCTGCAGGTCCCTCTGTGGTCCACAGGGCTGATGCCAAACATCTTGCCCTGAGCAGTGGCTCCACTGAAGGTACATCATAGGGCTCTGTCATACATCTCTCTTTTTTGCTACTTTCCTAGCACAGATATCATTTTCACGTCCTGCGGCACATTGTTTAAATAAATAGCAAATTTCATTTGTTCGTTCATTTATTTTATTCATTCATTTTGTTTGTTCGTTTGTTCATTCGATCGTTCATTCATTATTTTGTTTGTCCATTTTGTTCTTTCATTCATTCATTCATTCATTCATTCATTCATTCATTCATTCATTCATTCCTCCATTCATTCATTCATTCATTCATTCGTTCATACATTTCCTTTGTTTGTTCATTGGTTAATTCATTTTGTTTGCCCATTCATTCCATTTGTTCATTCGTTCATTCATTCCTTTGTTTGTTTATTCATTTCGTTCTTTCATTCATTCATTCATTCATTCATTCATTAGTTTGTTTATTCATTTGTTCATTCAATTCTTTCATTCAATCATTCATTTGTTCATTCCGTTCACTCTTTTATTTGTTCATTCATTTCATTCATTCATTTATTCATTTCGTTCTTTTAATTCGTTCGCACATTAATTTGTTAATTCATTCTGTTCATTTCTTCATTAATTTATTTGTTAGTGTTATTAATTAATTCATTCAATTCTTTCATTCATTCATTTATTAATTTCGTTCATTTATTCGTTCAGTCGTTTGTTCTTTCAATCCTTTTATTCGATCATTCATTTGTTCATTTGTTTGTTTGCTCATTCATTTCATTCGTTCATTCATTTATTCCTTCGTTCATTTATTTCTTTATTCATTTATTAATTAGTTCATTCATTTAGGTTGTTTATTCATTTATTCATTTTGTTCATTTATTTCGTTTATTCATTTTGTTCATCTATTCATTCATTTTGTTCATTCATTTTGTTTGTCCATTCATTCATTTTGTTCGTTCGTTCATTCATTCATTCGTTGGTTTTTTATTTGTTCGGTCATTCATTCATTCATTCATTCATTCATTCATTCATTCATTCATTCACCACACCTTGTTTAAAGCACCACCTCAGGTTTGGCATACATACATGGACATATGGTGAACGATGGACAGGAAGAGGACAGAGGGAAATAAATAAATATATAAATTAATTAATAAATATATTTTTCTAAAACATGATTACTGACATATTAGATAGGATATATGTGGTATGTGTTGGGTATATGGCATTATAATCATTACTGCAATTACCTTAATTATAATTGATATCACTGTTGTCGCTGTTTTTTTCCACTTCCAAAGTCCAAAGTCTGGCATGTAAATAGTTAATTAACCATGGGAATAGATGACAATCTGATCTGTTTTTTTTTTTTTGCCCAAAACATACCGATAACTCATTTAGAGAATAAGGATAACCACTTTTAGATCATGAGCTGAGTGCTACAATGGTTTTTCCCCTTCTTAAAATAGCAAAATTGGATTTAGATAGGACTATGCACTTTATGCCATGTTCTTAGATGGTTTAAATTAAACCTTTAATAGGACTGTTCACCCAAAACTGAAAAATTCTTCACTTCTCCCAAACCTGTTTGAGTTTTATTCTTCTATCGCACTCACAAGAAGGTATTTTGACTAATGCTAAAAAGCTGTCATCCATTGACTTCCATAGTATTTGTTTTTCTTACTATGGAAGTCAATGGTCACAGGTTTTCAGCATTATTCAAACTACTTTCTTTTGTGTTTAACGGAAGAATAAAGAACTCATAAAGGTTTGGAACCACTTAAGGGTGAGTAAACAGTGAGTAAATGTTTATTTTTGGGTGATATACCCCTTTAACATGAAGCATTATTTAGTTTAAGCTAAATACACACTTGTGTTTACTGTGTTTCTCTTTCTGGTTTGCAGCTGTTCCTGCCGCTTTACTGATCACCGTCACCTTTGCAGTCATGATTGCTGTGTTTCTGGCACTTTATTATGTCAGAACGTAAGTTATTTTTTGGTGATTTAATACAGTACACAAAACCTTTAATCAAAGTTATCCTAAAAAAGAACAGATTTTCTTAAAGCGAAGTTTATTTATAAACTGATTTCAAAAGGATCACATGCTTATGATTGCTTGCAGCCGGTCCTTAATTATTCAATTTATGATTCACCAATCAGACGATTCCTAAGCCACTCTAAATACCCTGTTTCATATAAGAGCCATCTTCATTTTGAAGAATCCCCCCCTCCACCCCCTCCTTTCCTAGATGGGTGGCACGGTGGCCCAGTGGTTAGCGTTGTTGCCTCACAGCAAGAACATCACTGGTTCTAGTCCTTACCAAGCCAGCTGCCGTTTCTATGTGGAGTTTACACGTTCTCCTGTGCTCACATGGGTTTCCCCTGGGTTCCCCGGTTTACTCCCACCATCTAAAAACAAGCAACTTAAGTTAATTGACTAATCCAAATCAGCACCATAGATTTATTAGCTCCCCTGATTTATTAGCCACCCCTGTTTATTTTTCCCCAATTCCTGTTTAATGGAGAGAAGATTTTTTCATCACATTTCTAAACATAATAGTTTTAATAACTCATCTCTAATAACTGATTTATTTTATCTTTGCCATGATGACAGTAAATAATATTTTACTAGATATTTTTCAAGACACTTCTATACAGCTTAAAGTGACATTTAAAGGCTTAACTAGGCTCATTAGGTTAACTAGGCAAGTTAGGGTAATTAGGCAAGTTATTAAAATTAAATAAAATTAGCTTAAAAGGGCTAATAATTTTGACCTTAAAATGGCTTTAAAAAAATGTAAAACTGCTTTTATTCCAGTCGAAATAAAACAAATTAGACTTTCTCCAGAAGAAAAAATATTATCAGACATACTGTGAAAATTTCCTCTCTCTGTTAAACATCATTTGGGAAATATTTAAGAAAAAATTTAAAAGGGGGGCTAATAATTCTGACTTTAACTGTATAAGTAGTTGGTGAACATTGTTAGTTCAATATATATATATATATATATATATATATATATATATATATATATATATATATACAAATTTAATAAGCCAATATAATATAATTCACTAAAGTAATCGGTAAGACTTTATTCCAACCCGGGCTCATTGTGGAAACGTAGCCCCGCGGACGTTTCTGTGGACCGCGATTTACGTCCCGGGAGGTACGTATTCGAGCGTTTTTTTGTTTTCGCGGATCCGTGAGAGGCCGCTGTGCGCGCTTTTTCGCGTCTCGGGCGCGCGCCTCTCGGGAGAGCGCGGCGTTCACGCCCGCGCCGTTCTCGCGCGAATAGCCGCCGGATCGAGAAAAAAAAAAAAAAAAAAGCAAAAGCCCTCATCTTCGATTTCGACCGCGTTCTCGCCCTCATTTTCCGGATTCCGTTTTTTTGTCTTACCTGATTTCCGGAACCCGATCCCGGTCGTCGTCCACCGCAGCCGACTCCAGCTCGTCCTCCTCCTCCTCCAGGGCCTCCGCTGATGCAACGCTGTGAGCTAGGCGGACAAACTGATTGCGTCGGGAAAGCCCTCCACTCGGAGGCGAGCCGTCGGCCGGCAAGCGCGAAGAGGAGGGGCGGAGCGGCGCCACACCGCCCGCAGCGTTCGCTCGAAAAAAACCAAACGCGGCCTTTACGTACCTCCTGCCACATAAATCGCGGTCTCCAGAAACGTCCGCGGGGCTACATTTCCACAATGATCTTGGGTTGCTTTATTCAGGGTGTCTGTGGGGTCTTAAAAAGTATTAAAGTAACATAAATCAGTTATGAGAAAATTAAGGCCCGTAAAAGGTATTAAAAAGTCTTAATCACATTTTTACGAGGTCTGAAATTGTGTTCAAGCGTTGTCCAAAGTGTCTGACTCCAAAAAAAACATAAATATATTTACTTTCCTTTTAATATTAACGGCGTGTTCGATCCACGCAATTGGTTTGGGCCGGGCGCGTCTGGCCAAGCTCCTTCATCTGCATGATGACTTGTAATTTGCGACAAACACGGGTAGGTGATGTGTCGCTTTCCACATGTAGTGAAACCATAGAGCGAAACAGACAGCAAAATGGGAAAACTTAAGTTTGCAAACTCCTGGTTGGAGAATTATGAGTTTAAACAGTGGCTGAATTACAAGTTTCAACAGTGGTTGAACTAGGTATTGCACTCCTGGATCAAAACAAACCCAAGCGCAGGTTGCCAAATTGAGAACCAACAGAAGCAAATGATTTAAACCGCGTTCAGAATAAAAGCAATGGCACCCAAAAGAAAAATATTCTCCATATTACAGTTTTTTTATTATTATTATTATTGTTTTGCCACAAGTTTCAGAACCCTGATGTCAATTTTTAAAACTCCAGACACAAAACTCTAAACACTCATTACTTTCAACACAGGCTCTCTAGTGTTCAAAACTCTGCATGCTGTGTTTATTTCCTTAAGGAAGCTTGTCGCTTAAAACAACCGCGTAATTTATTCTTTCAAGCTTTGTTTCTGAGTTCTGTTGCATGGTTGTGCTCCATTAATTTATTTAACTACAAATGTTTATTAACAACTGTTTATGAAGTTAAAGGTTTGATACTGATTAGAACTTGAAGTGGCGACGAGGGCTTAGAATATTCTGAGAAGGTCTTTAAAAAGTCTTAAGAAGTATTGAAACTACCTTTAGGATTCCTGCATATACCCTGTTATGTTGATGGTCCCTATTGCACATTTAATTGACTAAAAGTTGCAACTAAAAGCCAATTGCTTCTCATTTGAGACTGTCTGCTTAATATCTGCTGATACAGCTCCTTAAACAAATTTAACAAGAAACTTTGCAAGTACATGTCAACTTACCCTAACCCTAACCTTACAGTCCTACCTATAATCTAATGAGAATTAGTTGGCATGTAGATCCAATGTAACTTTAATTCAACAAAATGCATAAAGAGAACATCAAAATAGAAGGATACCAAAAAAATTATTAAATAAAATAATAATCAAATATTATATTTTATTTTCAGGAAAAGACCCTGCAAGGCCCAGTGTGATGTAGAGCAGCAGAAGGAGTACATCGAGACTGAGGTTTGGGAACACCATACTAAAGAAGACCTGCAGAAAACACAAGAGGAACAGGTGGAGGACAAAAACCAGGAGGAGCAGATGGAGGAAAAGAACCAGGAAGAGCTGGATGAGAATCACCAGGAGGAGCAGATGGAGGAGAGACGCCAAGAAGAGCACATGAAGAAAAACCAGGAGGAGCAGGTGGAGGAAAACGACAGTAGCTCTGCAGAACAATGATATCCCTGCCTGTGTGTGTGTGTGTGTGTGTGTGTGTGTGTGTGTGTGTGTGTGTGTGTGTGTGTGTATGTGTGTGTGTGTGTGTGTGTTTATCAGGCTTCATTGAGTGCGTCTCTTACAGAGGTGTAGTTATGTAATGTACAGTAGGTAATGACACAAATGTGTTTATTTATATAGGGAAGCTTGCTGAACTGTGCTGTTTTTGAAAACTATTTTTCTTCATTAAATAATTTCTGAACTTTGCTTAAAATGTTGGAAATTTAACTGAAAAAAAAAATTAAGAAATTTTATACATGTGTACATGCGCACACACACACAAATGCATACATATGTATGACTGGAACTGCCCATATGCATTGAACAATCTTATTGCACACCTTCCAGCCAATCAAAATGAAGAATTGCATATACTGTAAATATGTTTGTATAAAGCTTTTCCCCAAATGCTTTCAACAGGCATTTTTTCAACAAATTTTAAAATAAAATAGTTTTAATAAGTAATTTCTTATTTTTAATTTCTTAATTTCGGTGAAGTTTTTTCCCTCTCTGCTGTCGCCTCTAGCTTGCATGGTTTGGGATTGGTAGAGCTACGCATCGATGAATTTGCTCTTCTGTGTTTGGACTCTCAGTATTGATTTTAGACCACACTGAACTGAGCTAAACTGAACTGAACTTAAACACTAAAAACTGAACTACTCTGTTCCAATTACTATGACCATTTATGTTAGGCTGCTTTGACACAATCTACATTGTAAAAGCGCTATACAAATAAAGCTGAATTGAATTGAATTATAATAATTTATTTGGTCCCGCTTTATATTAGGTGTCCTTAACTAATATGTACTTACACAGAAATTCATAATTAGTTACAATGTATTAATTGTGTAAATACATGTATTTACTGTGTACTTATGCTTGATTAAATACCTGTATGTAATGACATCTGTAATTAACTTCTGTAATTACATTTGTAAATACACTGTTGACCATCCCTTACACCTCAACACACCCTTAAACCTACCCACACCTGTCCATAACCCTACCCCTATCCCAACTCACGAGCACCACAAGTGTTCTCAAATACATTATGAACACAGTAAGTACATTGTATTTATTTTTTGATGCGAGTACATAGTAGTTAAGGACACAATATAAAGTGGGACCATTTATTTTGCCATGATGACAGCACAAAATATTTGACTTATTTTGCAAGATACTAATATCCAGTTTAAAGTTAAATTTAAAGGCCTTAACATATTATTGGAAATACTGTGAAAATTTTGTGTGTGTGCAAAAAAAACATAACATAACAGGTAATATGACATGGGATTTTATTTACTAAATATAGTATTTATTTACTATAACAATTCTTGGTAAAACTTTATAATAACTACACACTATAAATCATTTATTAAGCATTAGCAAATATTGAATTCATTATCTGTTAAGCGTTAACTCTACATTAATAAACGTTAGTAAGCAGTTTATAACTGCAGCTATAAATGCTCTATTCTTGACTTACAAACATATTTAAAATGTGCTTAATAATTGTATTTTCATACTTCGTTAATGATTTATTTTCAATAATAAATTAAATATTGCATTGTTTACAAACTAGTTGTATTTAAGAGTAGTTGAGGGTTTTTAGCAGGGGTCACCAATCTCGGTCCTGGAGGGCCGGTGTCCCTGCAGGGTTTAGCTCCAGCTTGCCTCAACACACCTGGCTGGATGTTTTAAGTATACCTAGTAAGACCTTGATTATCTTGTTCAGGTGTGTTTGATTAGGGTTGGAGCTAAAATCTGCAGGACACCGGCCCTCCAGGAACAAGTTTGGTGACCATTGGTTTTTAGTATCATTCAGAATGAGTTAGTAAATGATTAATAAACTATTGAAATCAACGTTTATATGTCTTACTATTCAGGCATATATGGTCACTATGTATGTTAATAAATGCTTTATTTACTTCACTTCATCTAGTTTTGTGACCTAATCTAAAGTGAGGAATATTTATGCTTTATAAACCCCTTATAAATGACAAATAAAGGCTCAGTTAAATTCCAAACAGGAAAAATGACATTATTCATTCCTATTCATTTAAAGATACACAAATGAAACTGTTCTTCAAATGAAAAATACATTTTTAAACCTTATCTAAAAAAAAATCACTGTAGAGTTTAAACATTGCATCTTATTATATTGTTAAATTATTATATTGTTGTTGTTGTTTTATCCAGTTTTTATGTCGTATTTTGACAGTCCAGTTATTTGGCATTGTTTAAACTTTACAGTAAGTTTACTTTTCAGAAAAGATTGCAAAGATTATTGTTTTTTGATACCGAGCCTTCAATAGTCATTTATAAGGGGTTTATAAAGCATAAATAGTCCTCACTTTAGATTAGAAAAACTGCATGAAGTTGAATCAATAAAGCATTTATTAACATATAACTATTAACTATTAGTATATGCCTGAATAATAAGATATATAAATGTTTACATTTACATTTAGTCATTTAGCAGACGCTTTTATCCAAAGCGACTTACAAATGAGGACAAGGAAGCAATTTACACAACTATAAGAGCAACAATGAATAAGTGCTGAAGGCAAATTTCAGGTCTGTAAAGTCTGAGAAGGAAAGTATTAGTAATTTTTTTATTTTTTTATTTTTTGGGTACAGTTAGTGGTATATCCAGAGAGGCAATTGCAGATTAGGAAGTGAAGTGGAGGCTAAATAGTTGAGTTTTTAGTTGTTTCTTGAAAACAGCGAGTGACTCTGCCGTTCTGATGCAGTTAGGGAGTTCATTCCACCAACTGGGTAGATTGAGCGTGAGCGTTTGCGAAAGTGATTTCTCCACTCTGAAATGTTGATTTCAATAGTTTATTAATCATTCGGAATGATCCTAAAAACCCTCAACTACTCTTAAATACAACTGGTTTGAAATAATGCGATACTTAATTTAATAATGAAAAATAAATCATTAACAAATTAGGAAAATACAATTATTAAACACATTATATAGGTGCTTATAAGTCAAAAATACAGCATTTGTAGCTGCATTTATAAACTGCTTACTAACGTTTATTAATGTAGAGTTAATGCTTAACAGATAATGAATTCACTAGATGCTAATGCTAAGTAAATTATTCATCGTGTGTAGTTTTTAAAAAGTGTTACCCAATTCTCAACACTTTCTCATTTATAAAACTCTTTTCTACACATGAATCAAAAAGAATCACATTTTTAGCAATCAGTATTTGTAAAATTTGTATCTGGCTAACTTATTCAAGGAATACATACACTGGCTTCGGAAAACACACTGATAAAAAAAAATACACATATCACACATTAAAAATAATAGTTTAAAAGCAATATTCTTCCATGTTACAAGCCTTACATATGCACATTTTCATACATATATTTTGTTTGTTATGTTTGTTAGTTACACTTTTAGAAATAAAGGTAGAAGGCTGTCACTGCCTCCTGAAAATAACTGCTTAAACCAGACTAAGCTGATTGGCTGGTATTAGTTGGTTGCCTGGCCTGGTTTTAGATGGGTTTGAGCCATTTCCAGGCTGGTTCCAGCCATTTCCAGCCTGGTCTTAGCTAGTCAGACCTATAAAAAACAAGAATCGTCTTCAAGGCATTGTTAATTTCTGCGAAAAAAAAAATTTCAGAGTGACCTTGTGAGGTCTTGCATCCTATTACGAACAGCAGGTGTTGGGGATGGCACATTAAATACACTCCTTAAACAAATATTTTGAGTGGATGCCCCTTTGGCGACATCTAAGGATAATAAGATCTAAATCATTATGTTTACTTTTGTGCCTGAAGCCATTCAGTTACGTAATAAATGTAGTTAATCGATGGATTATTATTTATTATTATTCAAATGATCATTGTTATTGAATTATTTTTTTTTTTTTTGTTTGTGTACTTGATGTTAAGTGTGTGTGTTTAGTGTGTTAAGTGTGTCATTCTTATTATATTTGAAGCACCACCATGTCAGAATGAATTGCCCCAAGGGGATTACTAAAGCTTTAAACTTAAACTCAGAACTTAAACTTAAACTCAGAACTCAGACTAATACACAACGTAACGTAAGACGCACAACTAACGCAGCACTCTGCGCTGGACTTAAGACCTGCTTTTAGCTGGTCAATTGTGCAGTTTATTTTTAGTTCCTCAAAACAGCAACTCACCAACAATGCACCTTAACAAACCTTCTTTAAAGACCAGAACACACATGAGCCCACAAAGCCGCACCAATGGATTTACTATTTAAACAATGTGATGCAAAACGGGAACATTAGAGTTGAACTGATCTGAAAATAGCAACAAATGGCGACCAATAAGGTCTTGTGCACTATTGTGCTGGTTGTAGCTATATAGCGCCCTTAGACCGGGAGATGACCAGCTAAAACCAGCCTAGCCAGGCTTGGAACCCAGCCAAAACCAACTATGTCCAGCTTAAATCGGGCTGGTCACGCTGGTTTCAGCTGGACATTTCCCAGCCTAACCAGTTAAACCCTTCTAAAACCAGGCTGGTCGACCAGCTTAAATAAGCCTAGTTGGCTGGTGTTAGCTGGTTGACCAGACTAGACATAGCTGGGGGGTTTTTTCAACAGGGTGGGGCGGTACCTACTCAAAAGGTGCACTTTTGAACTTGACAGCTGCACATTAGTACCTTTAGGCAGGGTGCGAATTACAGGGAGGTTTGGGGGATTGACCCCCCTAATTAACGCTTGATCACTCCTGAAGGACATCAAAACAAAATGTATGGGGCATCAGCCTTTCAATAGTAAGGAATAGCTTTCTCTGATCTTTGGTCTTTATATGAAACATTAATAATTAAAAATGTATAATACAGTATACATCTGACCACCCTCTATAATGGTTCATACCATTGTAAATGCAAAATCGCCCCATTCAGTGCTAAGAAAATGATTATGTATGATTGAAAAGTCTGAAACTGGCATTTCTAGATCCCCGGTAGACATCTTCCAGTAAGTATTTACAAAACACATTTCTTTTAAAATAGGTGTTTATATCTGCATGTAGCCTTAAAAAAAGACATAATTTGTATAGTTTGATCAACAATGACCAATAAAAGAGTCACTAAATATCCATCAAAACACTGAAAACGTGTACATTTTATTAATAAATGAGATGTATTTCAAATACATTCATAAATTTGATTGACTGAAGCATTTATTAACAAACTACTACCGAAAAAAGTTGACACCCCCGATCGTCAGAATTATTCAAACACTGCCTTTAGGAAACACTTTTGTAACTTTAAAGTACTGAGGTAGCGTTAGGGGTTTGTTATTTATTTTTATTTTTTTAGGTAGGCCTATTAAAAGGACCTGTTAGGAACAAAAGAGTAACTTTTGAAAAGTGACCGATTCTAGCTTTATTTCTAAGAGTGTACTTCGTATGTTTATCTCTCGCAATGATGGAATGTTCCAGACGTTTCTCTCTTATAAAAGCATCTTCTCTGTGTTTTGATGTTATAGTTGAGAATCTCCACAGGGGGGAGATATTTCCCGCCTAATCTAATGTCAAAAACCTTCTGAAACGCCCATTTCAAATCACTGCATACAAACAGCGATGTTGATAGCAAACAGCTTAAACATTTCATAAACCATACTAGTTTTTGTTTATGCTACTGATGCTAATCTTTTAGGTTTTTAATACTAATATTAGACGGGTTTTGTTCATTTGATATCATTCATGATAATGACTTGTTTTATAACTAGTACTTTTTTATTAATTTTTACTAGCATTTGTTATTAACGCTACTGTGGCCATTCAGCAGGGGTGCCGCTATGGGCTGTATATAGTGTAATTTATTATATATTATTAATATTTAATAAATTATATGTTATTATTAAATGGCTTTTTTAATACTTTAAAAAAATATTTCCCTAATGATGATTAACAACATTTGTCAAGACATTTTTAAACTATAGTTCTGTATAGATATTAAAATAACTTATTTCCAATAACTAAATTATTTTGTCTGCGCCATTAGGGGGAATTATACATCTGAGAAGCAGGGAAAGACTAGATACAGTAAATAAACAACATTGCATTTGGGTCCCTAGTGCTTCCATTCCTACAGTATATAAAAATACCAATCATGCATATATGGGCACAAAGAGCTTAGTAGAGACAATACTATGAACAACTACAATAACCCAACCACCTCTGACTTGACAGCATCCACGAGGAAGCTGAGTTCGTTACACAGGGTCTCGTGTCTGTAGGCCATGCGGATCTGGGCCACGTTTGTCCGCCGGATGTCATTCCCTTCAGGTCCATCTTTCAGGTAACTGACCCCAAGGAAGTGCTTTTTCTCCTGAACAAAATGCCAAAGATGCTTTAGTGTCTTCAGTGTTGGGTGAATATGAACATGATGGTATGAATTGAAGCACTACCTCATGGGAAAGGCCGCTCTGCAAGACGCTGTTTCTAGCGATTTCACAGACGTCACACGTGCTTAACTTCCAGAGCTGTGCTGCAATGGCGTACTCCTCCATTAAAGCCTCCTGTATAGGACATAGGCATGGGCTGGTTTAAGATCCTGACGGTATGGTAATAAAAAATACTGTTTCACGGTATAGTGATTACTGCTCTAACATATATCCTTTTTAAATGTCTGGTTACTCTGTACTCTGACCTGTCCACCAATTTACCTTTACATGCATACACACACACACACACGCACACACACGCACATACCAGTACCTGACTATATTGTTGTTTTTGTTTTGTTTTTGTTTTGTTGCTTTGTATTTGTTATTAGTTGATTTTTTCTTGTATTTGTATTATCTTTGCATATTCTAATAAAATAAAAAAAAAAAAAAAAAAAAAAAAATATATATATATATATATATATATATATATAAATGTCTGGGTAAAAAAAAAAAAACTTTTTCCCCTTTGAACACAAAATATTTTATTTTAAGAAACATTTAAAGTATTTTGTAACAGTAATCATATCTGTCCCTACCAACCCTCCCGGTTTTCCCAGGATTTTCCCGTATTTTACAGTTCTATCCCAATGTCATCCTGTAAAGGTATTTTCCTGTATTTCTTCTGTATTTTTTTATCTTTCTGTGAAGAGATTCTCCCTATATGCAACCCATACTGCTGAACCGCCGCCTCTTGCTCTTAAATGTGAATCTAGTCTGTGCTTTCATTTTATTTATGCATGAAAACACTTTGAAATAATACATGACTATCAGCTGATGCGCTCCATAGTGATAAATAGACGCTGTTTCCCAAGTGGAAAAAAAAAAGTTAAAAAGTTTCCCGCTTTTTAAAAATTGCAAAAATTTGCCAAATCAAAGTTAAAAATTGCTAAATGTGTTGCTAGGTGCTTTTTAAAAAAATAAATAAAATTGCTAAGTTGGCAACACTGGTGGTCACTGGGTTTTGGGTGCGTGTTTGAACATATACACATTATCATAATAATAACAATGATAATTCATGCATTCATTAATTTTCTTTTCGGCTTAGTCCTTTTATTAATCTGGGATTGCCACAGCGGAATTAACCGCCATTATTATTATTATTATTATAATTATAATTATTATTATTATGCTAATAATGGCTATTTTTCTTTTTGTTTGGGGGAGTATTCCATATTTTCACATCCCAAAGTTGACAGGTATGAGTAAACATGTCAGGCTAAATAACTGAAATAAATCATTGACTTCTGCTCTCTTCGTTAGTTTCAAAAACACTGATTTCTTTACAACTTAAAAAGGCATCCTTGGCTATTTTTCTTTTCTGTGGACACAAAGTAAGCCACTGCACTGGTTCAGGTCTAGAGCATGCTAGGATGTTTGTGCATAAGTTGTTTGTTTTTCAGATGTTTCCTGACCAGTGGTTTTTAATCTGCATGGTCCTGGATAAATACAATAGTCTTTGACAAGACGTTAAAAAAGTTCATATACCAAAGAAATCAGTATAACAGAAAATGTTTGCATGTTTGTACAGTTAGTCTGACCTTAGTGTAATGAAACTGCATGGGGTCATCAGTAGAGAGCGAGACACACAGGCCTTTATGCAGGAACTCTCGCAGTGGGTTCTTGGAGTATTCCAGAAACAGACTGTTGTTACTCAGAGGAGACATGGCAATGGGCACTTGGGCAAGATAATACAGATACTGCAGCACAGGACTCTGCAAAACAGATAACCGCACATACAGTATGCATAATGTTTGAGAACTTCCACCTGTCAATCAACAAGATCAAATTCAGGCTTGGAACTACTAGTCTCCATTTGCATATTTTGGTACAGTGAGAGAGGCTTGATTAATGAACACATTAAAGGGTTAGTTCTAGGGCTACACGATTCTGGCAAAAATGTGAATCACGCTTTTTTTTTTTTTTTGCTTAAGATCAAGATCACAATTTTCTCATGATTCTGTAAACGTAAAATAAAGGTTAATGTCACACAACCGAGATCGCTGGTTCTCACACGAACTTCAGGACTACACTTCCGCATTTCCCAGGACTACATTTTCATACATGCACTGCTCCCAGACACCCATGCTCACACATCTAGCTTGATTGCACTCACCAGCTGCACCTTGTCAGAGACTGATATCACATCACTTATAAGCCACTCATGAACCCATCCAGTTTGCCGAGTCTTGTTTGCATTTTGTGACATTACAACGCGTCTCCCTGTCTTGTTTCTCCGTATTTGACCTTAGCCTAGTTTTCCTTGTTCTCCTGTTTAGCCGCCTGCCTTTTGACCTGTTGCCTGTTAATACGATTACGATTTTGGATTTGCCTGCATATACCTGTTCACACCTGATTTGACCATTGCTTGCCTGACAAATAATAAACCTTGCATACTGGATCCTACCTCCAGTTGTTTCTGTCACTCCACCCCCGTCGTTACAGTTAATATAAGTAGCCTATAATTATTGTTAATTCTCAAACATGGTAAAACAATAATAATAATATTAGGATTATGTGTAAGTCTACTGTTGCTTAAAATGCTACATTTTGTTTAGTCATTAGGGTGGACTTGAACAGACTTTCAATATGTCCTGTTTGTTAATTCACAGTAAAATGAGGACATCAGAATACAACTATTCATAATTATAAAGTTGATTTATTATGTTTAAAACATGTGCTTGTCATCTGTCATTGACAACATCATCAGACCATTTGTTTTCACTGGTAAAATAGAATTTTGTCATTATCAGATTCCTTCTTGCATTATATTCATCATTATATATAGGTTAGTGTTGTTATACTGACACAATAGACATTTATTTTCATGCACAACACTATGTATTACCTATGAAAGAAAAAACATATCAAATGCTTGTCGTAATCATAACTCTAAAATGCGATATGATCATTTAAAGGATGCGCACACAGGTTTCACGTTCATATCCGAGTGTAGCTCATGGCTGAAAAACACACATACATGCAAATCAAACCTCATGCACGGCTCAAATGAACGCTCTGTGCAACAAACTGAACGTTATTTACAACTTCATTACCTGTTAATCAAAGCCTATGCAGGTTGTGTTTACTAAAGTAGGCGTCATGCGTGCACGCGCACGTTCTCAGTAGTAAACAAACAGCTCGCGGTCAGTTCACGTGTGATTTCGCGGCCACGGATACATCATTACATGAAGACAGTAATAAACCATATAAATACAGTGTGGGGCGAAGCAGTGCCGCAGTAGGTAGTGCTGTTGGCGTTTCTGTGTGGAGTTTGCATGTTCTCCCTGCCTCTTGCTCAGGTTTCCCCTGTAGTCCAAAGACATGTGGTACAAGTGAATTGGGTAGGCTAAATTGTCCGTAGTGTATGAGTGTGTGTGTGGATGTTTCCCAGAGATGGGTTGCGGCTGGAAGGGCATGCGCTGCGTAAAAACTTGCTGGATAAGTTGGCGGTTCATTTCGCTGTGGCGACCTTGGATTAATAAAGGGACTAATCTGACAAGAAAATGAATGAATGAATGAATCAATTAATACAGTATGTGACACTTTTTAACGCCATTTGAAGGTGTCAATGTTGCTGTGACGACTTGGCGACTGCCTTGCATCTCCCCTGACCTTGAAAATATAATTGGCTCAATCAAAGATAAGCTGAATTAAAATCGTGTGTAGGGTCGAATCGAGATCATGATCTTTTTTTCGATTAATCGTGCAGTCCTAGTTGGTTCACCCAAATTCATTTGTTATTAATTACTCAACCTCATGCCGTTCCAATCCTGAGACCTTCATTCACCTTTGGAACAAAGATGAATATCTCAAATATATTCTCTGGACTTTGAATATCTTGGGACCATTGCTGGCTATAAAGGATGAAAGAACTCCTGGATTTCATCTAAAATTGCTTAATTTCTGTTCTGACAATTAACGATTAAGGTCTAAAGGGTTTGAAGCCACATGACGTGAGTAATTAATGAATGGATTTCATTGTTGGATTCTATGACCCTTTAAGACTTTATCAATAACACTTTTGAATTGATTTTCAGAATTTTGGATTCAAATTTGAATTACAATTGTACTTTTTTTCTTTTTAAATTTAGCTATTTTTGAAATGCCATTGATAACTATGACTGGATTAACCTTTTTCAGGTTTAAGCCGTGAGAGATGTTGTCTGCGGTGAGGAAAGCTGAAACCAGGTGTGTGATGGAACCGGCTTCTCCACAGTGCGGACGAAACTGAAAGGTACTAAGACCGCGTTCCCTGTGAAAACACACACACACACACACACACACACACACGTATAAGCCAAAAGTAAACAATCAATGGAAGATTATAGTCCACCTGCTGTTGAGATATGAGCCCCACTATTTTTACATAAGATGTGTACATTTTTAGTGTTGTTACCAACATACTGTTACACATTTGAACTCACACAAACTATTCAGTGGGTTGTTTCATGTGTGTAGTTACACCAGTATTACACAAGTAAATACTATGAACCGGTGTGTACATACACTGTAGTTACATACGACTTACACATCTAGTTACCATGTAAGTTTACAGATATAAGTGACAATATAAAGTCTTATTTGTTTTATTTTGGCTAGAATAAAAAACCTTTTTAAAAAAAAAAACTATTTTAAGGTCAATATTATTAGCCCCTTAGGCAATTTTTTTTTTTTTGATTGGCTACAGAACAAACCACTGTTATACAATAATTTACCTAATTTACCCAGTTAAGTCTGTCACTTTAAGCTGAATACTAGTATCTTGAAAAGTATCCAGTCAAATATTATTGGCTGTCATCATGACAAAGATAAAAGAAATGAGTTATTAGAAATGAGTTATTAAAACTATTATGTTTGGAAATGTGTTAAAAAAATATTTGTTCCGTTGAACAAAAAACAGGGAAACAGTGTATAAAGGGGGCTCATAATAATTCAGGAGGGCTAATAATTCTTTATAGGCCACAGGATATGACCTCACTGACCCAATCCACAGTCCATCCTTCATAAAGTGGAAAGATGATGTCAGTTTGTTGTACTGACAGTATTTCACAAGCTTTGACAGTATCCCAGCTGTAACCCAATATGTGTGTATTACTGATACAGCGGTATTTATAGATGTCCCAGTGCATGGTGAAACAGTCGCACATGCAACTGGAAACCTCTTCTTCCCGAATGCCTTCCAGTACTTATTTAAGGTTTATCAAAGCCCGAGGGTATAGCAGAAGATATTTATGGCAAGTAAGTGATCTCTGTTTACTTCCCTCTTAAGTGTACATATTGTGTTCCCTATTGTTATGGGATATGGTGGGATTTGGAAGCGATATATTGGAGCACATACATACTTTCTGAGGTTGTTGAGCACCATGATGTTGGCGTACATGTGGAAGAGGTAGTAGCTGTATGGCGGGTTGTCGTCAGTTGTCCACTGCTCAGGTTTAGGGCTCTTATAAGAGAACATGTGATCGCTGTGTTTGGATTCGTCGTCCACACTATCAAAGCCAGTCACCTGAGAAAATATGGGGCATCTAATGAGTATAGTGCGGTTTACTTAATAAATTGCAACCTATGATTTTGAATAGATCTCTAACATTGCAGACTGTAAATGAAAAGAGGTTTTTAAAGTAACTTCACTTTTTTTTTTTTTTTTAAAAAAAGGTATTTTTACATAATAATAATCAAAGAACTGTCGTACCATGGCTGCAGCAGGCACAATGATATTTAAACCAGGCTCATTCTGGAAACGTAGCCCCGTGGACATTTCTGGAGATCGCGAAATACGTCCTGGGAGGTACGTATTTGTGCAGTTTTTGTTTTTGTGCCCGCACTGTTCTTGCTCTTGTTCTTGTTCGAGCTACCGTATGTCCGACTGACCGACTGGCTGAATGACTGAAGGATTGACTCCTCCTCCTTCTTCCCTAAACCCAAGCGACGATTTATGAAAGCCATGTGGAAAAAGAAAAGCCCTTGTCCGTTTTTGACCGCGTTTTCAGATTTCACCGCATTCTCACCCCGTTACGAACTCGTTCGCTTTATTTTTTGGATTCTGTTTTTTGTCTTATCTGATTTCTGGAACCGCTCTTCTCGTCTTGAACACCCGGCTCCTCCTCCTCCGGGCCTCCACTCCGCTGTCATATCACGATAATAACCAAATGCGGTCATACGTACCTCCGGCCACGTAAATCGCAGTCTCTAGAAATGTCCGCGGGGCTACGTTTTCAGAATGAGCTTGGGTTGATGATATTATGCATCACTTTTAACTAGTTATCTCGCTGGGGACTACGTTCAGGTGCTGCGTAATATCATTGCGTCTGCTGCAGCCATGGTTTGGCAGCAAAGTTCCTTGATTATTATGCCAGAATGAGACGATAGTTCCTAGAAATATCAGGCTAGAAAAATACCTCTTCTCATTTTCTGTTGGTCTTAGTACACAATGTAACTACCAACCCAGGCTACTGGACGTTTTCTGGAGACCGCAAAATACGCTCCAGGAGGTATGTATTTTTGCAGTTTGTGTTTTTGCGTGAATCCACGAGAGGCCGCTGTGTGTGCTTTTTCATTTCTCAAATTTCTCTCACGAGTGCCGTTCGAGCCTGCGCTGTTCTCGCGTAAACCCACCAGAGGCCGCTTTCGACCAGCTGAATGACTGAATGATTGACTGGGCAATGGGGCTATCGACGGACCCACCCTCCTCCTTCCCTGAACCCATCTAATTTTACCGATTGACCCACCCACTTACTAACTCCCTCTAAACCAAACCAATGGTTAAGAAAATCTGTCCATATTAAAAGAAAAGCCCTCATCTGATTTTTATCACGTTTTCGGATTTTACCACTTTCTCACCCTGTTGTTCACTTGTTCGTTTTATTTTTTGGATTCTGTTTTTGTCTTACCTGATTTCTGGAACCGCTCTTCCCTGTATTCGAACCTGGTTATCGTCAACTCCTTCCCTGCGTCTTAAGTCCGCCGACGTATACGACGAGCTAACCAGACAAACTGGTTGCAGTGGGAAAGCCCTCCACACGGAGTTAAGCGGTCAGCCAGTAAGCGCCAAAAGGAACAGCGTCATACCACCCTGTAGCGTTCGCTTAAAAAAATGAAATGCAGCCATATTGTACGTAACTCCGGCTACGTAATTCGCAGTCTCCAGAAACGTCCACAGGACTACATTTTCAGAATGAGCCTGGGTTGGTAACTACAGAAATCATGTGAGATGCTAACGCTCTAATCTGATTCAATAATTTATGCTAAGCTAAGCTAAAAGTGCTATCGCTAGACCCAGATATTGGCTGAATGGATTAAAAAATGGTAAAACTCCAAAAAAAAATAGTGGAAAAGCACATTAAAAGTACATTAGAATGCATCCTGTTTATAATTTTCCTTAAAAAAGTATATACTATTATATATTTTATATTGATGTACAAAGGAATAAAATGCCAAATACCAAAGAAATCTTGTCACACATATTTAAACAAGAAGAATTAAACATTCTTTGAATAACTTGCTTTAACCAAATTGTCTGCAATAATTTAATCATTTAAAATATAATAAAATAGTATAATCACTTATTATTGCATATATTTTTTTCAAAGTATGTTCATTAGTTCAGTCTGTTATCCTGAATGTCAATTGAAAATTATTTTCACCCATTAATTTTGATGTTTTGTTTTCACAAAAGTTATTTGAAACAAGTAGACACTGTACTTGCATTTAATACGCTTTACTTTTATATGAACAACACTTTTGTCAATTGAGTTTGAGCCAGACACCAAAGCGGCTTTGTCCTTGATCAATATACATATTAAACATTCTACATGGACGAAAGTATGTAGACACAAGCCTCCACTGCGAAGATTTGCTCCTATTCAGACACAAGAGCATTAGTGAGGTCAGGCATTGGTCAGAGGTCAGGCACTGTCATTTTAATTAATCCTTAAATATGTTGAGTGGGGTTCAGAACTGGGGGTTTTTGCAGACCAGTCACATTTTTCATCCTGGAGCAAAACGGATCCTCTCTGAACTTTCTGACATGCCAAAAACACACAGTTCCCAACAATGTCAGTGCGTGCTTTTAGCATGAAACGGTTTGTTCAAAATAAAAGTTCTGTACTTGTTTACCCGCCCTAATGAAATTTAAAATCATGTAAAAGTTCTTTAATGTCATTTAATAGATTTCCCTTTATTGAAAGTATTTTTCCCAAATGGAGGAAATATCTGTGAAGAGATTAAGAAATAAATCCAGCAGCTCAATATGAATCAAAAAAACATGTTCGCTTTGTATAATGAGAACATACCATAATTCACATTATTTAGGTTGACTTTATGTTGATGGTCCCTTTAACACATTTGGATTATAAGTTACATTACAACTATTGATTCATTGCCTAGTGCCACCCTTGTAAGTTGACTTGTACTAACAAATTTATTACAGTAAAGAGAATTTCTGTTAACATTCATTCGTTCATTCATTTCTTTTCGGCTTAGTCCCTTTATTAATCGCCACAGCGGAATGAACCGGCAACTTAACCAGCACGTTTTTACGCAGCGGATGCCCTTCCAGCCGCAACCCATCACTGGGAAATCTACACACACTCATTTTCACTCATACACTACGGACAATTTAGCCTACCCAATTAACCTGTACCACATGTCTTTGGACTGTGGGGGAAACCGGAGTAGAGATGCTCCCTCCAGGTTTTAGCTCAAACCCGACCGCTCCCGCTTATATTCAGCATTTGTTGTCCTGCTGCCCTCCCGCCCCATTTTCTACCTGCCACGCCCGTTCCCGCTAACAAATGGGGAGAGAACAAAAGTTCTGTGCTAGACTTTAGACCAGCTTTTACTTGATCAATGGCGCAGTCTTTTTCTCAAAATACTGTAGCAACTCACCAACAATGCGCCTTAACACAGCTTCTTTTTAGACCGGCACATCCATGAGTCCACAAAATGGCGCAAATGAATTTGCTATATATACTACGTGGTGCAAAACATGAAAATTAGGGTTCCGCTGGTCTGAAAATAGCACCAAACGGAGCCAAACACATCTTGCGCCATATTGCACCATATTCTATCAGTGCCGCATGGGATTGGTTCGCAGGGACACTCAGCTTGTTAGTCAGGCTAAAAGTTAAATGTTACTAAATGTTTGTCACCTAGGTTACATATTTTGCTCCACAAGCAGCACATCAACCTGCTTTCTGTTAGCTTATTACAAGTGCATATATTAACGTTATGTGTTCTTGTTTTTAATTAATCTCACATTTTACATGTATAGTCCACAAATGGCAAATAATTCAACTTACACTTTTAAACACCATTAAACGTGAATAGCACTGACGTAAGCTACATTTTTAGGGTATAAGGTGGAATCATTTTCACAGTTACTCACTACTCAAGTACAACAGTTACTTTTACTCTACTTGTACTACATTTTTGGCAAGTAATGTTACTTTTACTGGAGTATGATGAGTTTTTAGTTCTCTTTCCACCAGTAAGTATTAAACACATTAAGTATAGGAGTGTCCACAAACTGTATATCCGACCACGACCAGGTGGTATTGATTACACAAATTTTACATTGTTTACCATACTGTAATTAAAAATGCTGCATCTGTTATAAACCTTAAACTTACATATTTAAGAAACACGTGGAGCTCTTTGTGCTTTTGAGGATTCACTGTGGCCTCGAACAGAGGAAGGAAAACATTTTCGAGCATCTTGGCAAAATTAGGAACCAACTTGCGTGACCTGAAGATGTCACTGTAAAAGAAAAAGGCACAAAAACATAGTCATAACACAATATATCAGTGCTATCTCGAAATATTTTGAATAAATATATCTACTTACTATATTCGGGGCACTTGAATGATCCAGCGCATATTAGGAGAGTACACTTTGTTCTGAATAAACCAATGGGAGAGACTTTCCCACTCCTCAGGGGAACGGCCATATATGGACAGTCGCGGTTCTGCATGTTGATACTTGCTCTCTTCCAGATTATGTGCTACTTCCTGACAGAGACAAAGAGTTAAAGAAGTCTCTTAAAGTCTTGAACCTATAGTTTCAGAGACCTTTACTTGATTTCCAACTGAAACAGAATATTAAGTAGGGGGCGGGGCTTTTTTCAGCATCATTCCCTCATAGCAAACTAACGGTAAGAGGGGAGTGGTTAAGAATACTGTGGCTGAAACTGTCAGACTGACATCAACAGAGAAGCACCGCCACTTCAAACATGGACACAAATGGTCAGATTTTGAAGATTACCAAAACAACCTTTTTTTCAGTGGAATAACTTGCGTTGATTAATTGTTTGCCTAAAGCACAGATGTCAAATCCAGTTCCTGGAGGGCCCGTCTCTGCACAGTTTAGCTTTAACCCTTATTAAACACACCTGATCAGTCTAATTAAGTCCTTCAGGCTTGTTTGAAACCTACAAGTAAGTGTGTTGAAGCAGGGTTGGAACTAAACTGTGCAGAGCTGCGGCCCTCCAGGCACTGGGTTTGGCACCTGTGGCCTAAAGGATAACAATGTATGGTGGTCAAGAGAGCTTAATGTATTATAATTTCAGAAAACACATGTCAATTACAAAAAATGCCAGCAAATTGTGTGAAGATACAAGATGTGCAGCACCTGAAACTAGGGATACTGGAAGCCTGTGCTGGCATTTCTCCTTGCTATCAGTGTCTGAAGAGTGGGAGAAGTGGGTTGCATTGAAAGTCTAACACAATGGGCAGCACATTGAACACATTTTGTAAGTGGTCAGAAACTTGTTAATAACTCATGAAAGAATACAGTTAGGTTAAAACCCAAGTACATAATTGTTTTTCTTGTGAAATTTCCAATAAGTTTGATGTGTCAAATGACCCTCTTCCTACTGAAAAAACAAAAGTTGGATCCAAGATGGCCGACTTCAAAAGGCCACCTTGGTCACCACCCATCCAAAAGTTTGCCCCCTCACATATACTAATATGCCACAAACAGGATGTTAATATCACCAAACATTCCCATTTTATTAAGGTGTATCCATATAAATGCCCCACACTGTACATGAGTGCCGTAAAGGGGTCAAAGTTTAACATTGTGCCATAAAGTCAATCTGCTGCCACTAACACTATTGCTGTGTCATTAATCTAGCATAACCACCCCAGGGGTCACAATTTAATAGAAATGAAACTTCAATGGAAATTGTAAGGCTGACGGCTTTTTATTTGCATGTTGCTTTTTATGTAACTATTAAATACTATTTATATTCTGTAGGTTATGGATAAAATATGGTAATTCTAATAGTTTAATAACATATATGATATTTTTGGAAATCACCAAGGGTCCCGACCACTACTTTGGGAAACACTTGTATGAAACCAACCCAGGCTCATTGTGGAAACATAGCCCCGCGGACGTTTCTGGAGACCTTGAAATACGTCCTGGGAGGTACGTATTTGTGCAGTTTTTGTTTTCGTGAATGCGTGAGAAGCAAATGTTCCGCGCTTTTTTGCGTCTCGAACGCCTCTTGGGAGCGCGTGCTGTTCGCGCATGTGCTGTTCTAGCGTGAAAAGCCGCCGGAGGCTAATGTTGAGCAACCGTCTGTTCGACTGACTGAATGACCGAGCAACTGACTGAGCGGCCGGCCAATCGGCCGACCCAGCCACCCTCCTCCTCCTTCCCTAAATCCAAGGGACGATTTACAAAAGCCGTCCAGAAAAGATAAGCAAAATCGTCCGATTTTGACCCATTTTTCGAATTTCACTGCATTCTCGCCCCGTCACGAACTCATTCGCTTTTATTTTTTGGATTCTGTTTTTCATCTTACCTGATTTTTGGAACCGCTATTTCCCGTACTCGAACCCGGTTATCGCGGGTCTCCTCCTCCGGGACTCCGCTGACGTAACACTACGAGCTAAGCAGACAAACTGATTGCGACGGGAAACCCCTCCACATGGAGGTGAGCCATCACAGCAGCCGAGCGCGAATAAGAGGAGCGGCGTCACACCGCCCCATAGCGTTCACTCGAAAAAATGTAATGCAGCCATACGTACCTCCGGCCACGTAAATCACGGTTTCCTGAAACGTCCGCAGGGCTACATTTTCAGAATGAGCTTGGGTTGTTTAAAACATTGTCCTTGTGGACATCTTGTTTTGACAAAATGACCAAATTACCTTGATCAAGCGGGCGAAATACTCTCCATTGATATAATTGTCGGCCTTCAGGTAGATTTCCCGCAGCTCACTTGCTCCGACAGGATTGTACTTTGAGTTGAATTTGTCAAAGCGGTGAAAGGTTTGTCTGCCCTGCAAATATACTGAACATGAAGCAGAATGTACAAGCCACCAGTATATCAGTAAACATTAAACATGTTACTTACAGCATGAACGTCTAAAGAGTCTACCGTAAGATCATAAGGGTCCATGTTCAGGTTGTTAAACACCTGTTTGAGAGTTAGCTTAAGCCCCGCCTTCTCCAGAACAACTCTCTCGGCGTCGGTTTTGTAGGTGGTTTGGATGAAATCGAGCAGGTGTTTCTGGTTCATACATGCTGCTGCGTGGATATGGGTGTCTACCTGTAAGTAGACACATTTAGACAACATGGAAAATAAATTGTAATTACACATTACTATATGTGTTTTATATAATACCTTTCTGACATTGTAGAAATCTCTGTGAGGAACGCCCTTGAGCTCTTTTAGTTCGGCCATTTCGTTGAGCATTTCGTGCAGGTAAAACTTTGAGCCGAGGAAGTTGAGTCGTCTATGGCAGTAGGTCTTACTGTTTAGGGAAGAAGTAAATCTCATAATTCTTGAATTGATTACCAATGGGTTGATATTGTTTGGAGGTAAGGATGGGCGATATGGATATTGTATTCATTACGATAACGATATTAGTAATGATGTAATTCATAAGTTGCGGCACAGTAGCGCTGATAGTACTGTCGCCTCAAAGCAAGAAGGTTGCTTGTTGCTCTTTCTGGAGTTTGCATGTTCTCCCTGTGTTAGCGTGGGTTTCCTCTGGGTGCTCCAGTTTTCCCCACAGTCCAAAGACATGCGGTACAGGTGATTTCGGTAGGGTAAATTGTCCATAGTGTATTTGTGTTTGTCCCGGTCCTCCAGGTTGGGCGTTAAGCTTTGGGCTAACAACCCACCTCGTAAAAACTAGATGTTACAAAACACCAATATGGTGCGGCTAAATATCAACTTTGATATAAATTACCCTGGGAGTAAGTAAGTAAATAAGTCAGTATAATTCATAAGTGGGGCGAGGCAGTGGTGCAGTAGGTAGTGCTGTCGCCTCACAGCAAGAAGGTCGCTGGGTCGCTGGTTCGAACCTCGGCTCAGTTGACGTTTCTGTGTGAAATTTTGCATGTTCTCCCTGCCTTCGCGTGGGTTTCCTCTGGGTGCTCCGGTTTCCCCCACAGTCTAAAGACAGCTAAGTGAGGCTAAATTGTCCGTAGTGTATGAGTGTGTGTGAATGTGTGTGTGGATGATTCCCAGAGATGGGTTGCAGCTGGAAGGGCATCGGCTGCGTAAAAACTTGCTGGATAAGTTGGCGGTTCATTCTGCTGTGGCGAACCCGGATTAATAAAGGGACTAAGCTGACAAGAAAATGAATGAATGAATGAATGAATTAATGAATAATTCATAAGTATCCACAGAGACAAAATGTCGTAATTAAATAATAATAATAATAATAATAATAATAAATAATAATACCTTTTATTTATAGGTGCCTTTCAGAGCACTCAAGGACACATTAAAGTATGTCACAGGCACATTATAAAAACGAGACAGTAGAGTAATAAAACATAGTATTAATCAAGAAAGTCATTAAAAGCGATCCTGAACAGAAAGGTTTATACCTAGGATTTAAAATTGGAGATAGAGTCCACCTGACGAATATCTAACGGCATGGAATTCCATAACTGTGGTTAAAAAGCCCTGCCACCAAATGATATCACCTTAAAATTTGGAACTGACAACAGTTCAGCCGCAGAAAATCTCAGTGAGCGCAATTTTCAGCATAAAATTACTAATTATCATATTTTTATTGTTAAATTTTATTAATTAAGGATATTAATACAGTCAAAAAATGTTTTTTTGCTGCTTGTTTAAACTACGTATTTGAAGTGAGCTGAAACAACATATTTCTTGAGATTTCGTTTGGACATCTTAATTTTTTTATGTTCAATCCACTTTAATGTTTGAAAAACTAACACGTTAACCTAATTCCTTCATGTTGTCCTAACACAAATCAACTGTGTGGAACCCAGCGTATAGTCCATGGTCCATTGAGAGAGTGTATGGGTGTTTCCCAGTACTGAGTTGCGGCTGGAAGAGCAGCCGCTGCGTAAAACATATGCCGGATTAGTTGGTGGTTCATTCCACTGTGGCGACCCCTGATAAATAAAGAGCTAAGCCAAAAGAAAATGAATGAATATTAATACGGTAAAAACTAAAAATTTGCTGCTTGTTCAAACTACTTATTTAAAATCAGCTAAAACAAGGCATTTCTTGAGATTTTGTTGGGACAACTTAAATGTTTTATGTTCAATCCACATGAATTTATTATGTTAACTAAACTTTGCAGGACAGCAGGTCTTCCAGGTGGAGAGCCGAAGATCTTTTACATAGTGTTATGATCAAACATTGTACTGTTATTTCTGTTTCATTCATACTGGACACTAGAGGGCGCCCTCACGCATAATCTCCACATGTAGATTACTGAAGAAAAGAGCTATCGCTGCTGCAAAGTGGATAAAGAAATGAAGAAATTGATCAAACATGAACACAATAGGGGTGGTAGGTGGCTTAGTGGTTAGCACTGTCGCCTCACAGCAAGAAGGTCGCTGGTTCGAGTCCCAGCTGGTGCAGTTGGTATTTCTGTGTAGAGTTTGCATGTTCTCCCCCTGTTTGCGTGGGTTTCCTCCATGTGCTCCGGTTTCCCCTACAGTCCAAAGACATGCGCTATACAGTGGGTGAATTGAATTAACTAAAGTGGCCTCAGTGTATAAGTGTGTGTGAATGTAGTGTATGGGTGTTTACCAGTACTGGGTTGCAGCTGGAAGGGCATTGTATTATTGATCATTATTGTTACGATAAATCTACATTTTTATAGTGGGAAGAATTTGTAGAGGTATATCGCAAACGATAGACTTACGTAGGCCCATCAGCAATCATGGCGAGCACATGACTCATGTCAATAGCAAATGTTTCCAGGTCTGGATATGGAAGGCAGCGTGGTTTGTTCATGCTTAAGGCTTCAGCGTTTTCATATACATAAATAATGCCATCTTTCATCTTCATCTGATAATTGAGGTTTTCTGGAACATTCTCCATGCTGTAGGGATCCTCTCCCTCACCAGGGCATGGACAAATATCTGAGTAAAGCAAGAGAATTTATGAAATAGAAAGAAAAATGCTAAACTATGCCTTTCTAGTTATCCGCATAAACGACAATCTGGCTTTCCCATTGGGGGATAAAATGTTTTTTCCATTTTAGCTGAAATTTTAAGTGTTTTTTATTCTCATTATTGAGCTACGCATAACTCATGCCAGCTCTTATGTCTTCTAAAATTAGTTAAACATTGATGTCTTGGGAAGGGACTTTAGGCAGGGACATTAAGCAAACATAGTCAGCATTTTTTTGTACACAGAAATCCCACTAAAATGTTTACAGAGCCAAAAATAAACCTCGAAAGAGAATGTTCTGCATGACCCATATGGTTTTGAAGCCTGATCATATACAGATGTACCTGGGAGGATTTCGTCCTCTTCTGTCCACTTTTCATTCGCTGCATTACGTAGGAACTGTGCCGTAGTCCGTGGGAAGCGGTGATATGCCAGTTTGGAGTATTTTTCTCGAATAAAAAGAGCCTTTAGCAGACTTTTAGCTGCCTGCTCATAGTCCTCAACTGTAATCTGCAAGTGCACCGTAAAACATGACTGTTAAGACACCATCTGCAATTTAAAGAGCCTTTAGTTGCAAACACAAAATTGGTTGACCGTCCATTCTAATAATACACACCCCAGCACAGTAGTCTCCGCTAATGGTGACTCTTTGATACTCCGGGAAATTTGGCGAAATGGATGAGCAAGTGGAGGACGGGGTAATCAGGGGGGTCACTACACCCCGGACACTCTCTGTACTTAATGGGATTTGCAGTGACATAGATTGGGACCGAATCATCTTAAAACTCTTCTTCCTAGAAAGGATTAAAGCAAATGGAAGCTAAAAAAAAACAATCAAGCAGTAAATTCACTAAGCACATGTATTGTTAACTACGCTGGTGGAAAATATAATCCATTTGATATTCATTGTGAAGTGTTTCCAGAATAGTCCATGGTCCAAGGTGATCTAGATTGTCTAGACAGGGTTGCCCAAACTCGGTCCTGGAGGGCTGGTAACCTGCAAAGTTTAGTTCCAACGGCAATCAAACACACCTGGGCTGGCTAATCAAGCTTTTGTAGGTTTTCTAGAAACATCCTTGCAGGTGTATTAAAGCAAGTTGGAGCTAAAATCTGCAGGACACCGACCCTCCAGGACTGAGTTTGAACATCCCTGGTCTAGACCACTGTGTTACCTAGGGCTGCATTCCCATCCAAATCTTTATGCCCTTCACTTGCTAACTTCCCTCCGGCTTGCTCCCTCAGATGTACATCATTATGCAAGTGTCCACTACTGGCAGCCCTGCTGAAAAATCCAGCTTAAACCAGCCTAGGCTGGTTTAAACTGGATTTTTCAGCAGGGAGATCATCTGAATGGGTTTAAATGGAATTCACTAAACCCTTGAGCACCAGGGAACTACACTGTTTTAGTGACATCACAGTCACATTGCATTCTGGAACATATGGGGGCTGGAGTGGACATTCAGTATGAAGCAGATTTACTCCCACGGTCAAGATTGAGGGTATGTGCATGTAAACTTCCCTCGTTCACTTGATGAAGAGGAACACACTTTCAAATGGTGGTGGCGATTCCCTTGAGGTAACAAGGAAAGGCAAGTTCATGAGTGCGTGTCTAAAGGTGGACTGGAATACAGCCTAGGAAGGTCGCCACCCTGCAGAGTTTACCTCTAATCCAAGTGAAAAGCACCTGTACAAGTGAAACAAGGTCTTCTGGATCACTTTAAACTTCTAGTCCAGAGCAAATTTCTGCATGATGTTGGCTCTCCAGGAGCAGGATTGGATATCTATGATCAGTGGTTCTCAATCCTGGTCCTCACTCTGCACATTTTATATGTTTCTCATACAGAGGTACCATGTTGCTCCTCAACCACATTGCTGCCCCCATTACCCACCCGTTTCTCCCAATACTGCGTGTTTTGTATGCATTTTAAGTAAAACACACTTAATTCAGTTCATCAGCTCATTAGCCAAGACTCCAGGACCTGAAATTGCTGTGTGAGACAAAGGAGACTTGCAAAATGTGCATTTTCGGGGGAGCTCCACGAACGTGGTTGATAACCAGTGCATTAGACCAGTGGTTCTCAAACTTTTTATCAAGTACCACCTCAGAAAAAATTTGTCCCTCCAAGTACCACCAAAATGAGCAGTATTGAAATACAGTAGCGTAGTAGGCCCAGTAAAGCAGCTACAAATCTGCAGAGTTAAAAAACGTGGCAGATTACCACAGAAATATAGGCTTTATGTCAAATATGAGATATTATAAACATCATTTTTGATAAATTTTAAAATGTGTGTAGCATGTACCTGACATATTTCATTTCTCAGCGTACCACTAGAAGGAAGCCTGCGTACCACTAGTGGTACACGAGCCACAGTTTGAGAACCACTGCATTAGACCATAAGTGCACTGCAAAGTAGACATACAAAAATAATATTCTGGCATGATTCCAGTTCGAAAGAAGTAAACTTCAAGTTCAGCCAATTTCCCATGTTCAGGGGCCAGAGAGGAGTAAACACTATTTAGGAAACATGCCAATCAGAAAACTTCATGGGGCTCTTTTCTAAGGAGCTGGTTATCTAAATCAGGCGTGTTAAGCAAGAGAGACATGCAAAATGTTGAGAATATGGGGTTGTGAGGAACAGGATTGAGAACTGCTGGTCTACATAGCTGACCAGTTGGTGGATATGGTGTTGATTGGTTAAGCTGGTAATAAATGACACTTTGGGTCAGCATCAAAAAGGAGCTACCTTGTTTAAACGATCGGATTGTCCTACATAGACAGGTAAGACCTGGGCTGCGTCTGAAACCGCCTACTACTCAGTAGGTGCTGCATTTGAATTTAAACGTACTACTCGGCCGTTAGAAAAGTTTGTTCTATATACGAATGTGAAAAGTATGAATGGAATTCGGACGTACTACATCCGCCATTTTGTCATGGTCACGTGACCTACCTGCATCAGTTGCGTCGCCTCACTTCCATTCATGAATTCTCTCACGGTGCATTATGGGATAGCGCAGCGTGCATGGGATGCGCACTTCAGAATCTCGCCGGAAGTAGTAAGTCATCCGGGTACTTCTCGCCTACTGATTTTCGAATTCTATGAATTCAGACATACTACTCGGCTCGCATACTGATGTTAGCGTACTATATAGTATGGAAGTATGCAGTTGGACGCAGCCCTAGTGTTTTAAGCATGTAAAACCTTCTGTTAGCATGCTACTTCACAGATTTAAATTAATGGTCTCAAACTCAATTCCTGGAGAGCCACAGCTTCAAAGTTTAGCTTCAACCACCTCCAACTCACACTTGCTTAATAATCTCTAGTAATCTTGAACACCTTGATTAGTGTGATCAGCAGTTTTTGATTAAGGCTGGTGCAAATCTGTGCAGAGCTGCGGCCCTCCAGGAGTTGAGTTTGAGACCTATGATCTAAATCATGGATGAGTGACTTCGGTCCTGGAGGGCTGGTGTTCTGCAAAGTTTTGCTCCAACACTTATCAAACACACCTGAACGAGCTACTTAGTGTCTTTAAGGACACTAGAAAGCTATAGGCAGGTATATCTGATTGGGGTTGGATCTAAACTCTGCAGGACAGTGGCCCTTCAGGACCGATGTTGCCGAATGGTGCTGACCGTTTGGCACTTTCTTCTGACTGTTGCTCAGCCAGTTCTCTGAGTAGCTCCCTCTGTTTGGCTTCCTGAAGGCCAATGGGACAGTCCTCGGGTACAGTGTACATGGACAGGGCATCTTTTGTGTCTTCTTCTTTCAGTGCCGAGGCATAAACCTTCTCCGCCAGCAGGCGAACCTCCTCATCCACATCAGTCAAAGCAATCTTCGGGAACTGCCGTGGCATATCTGAATAGAAGCACATTTAAATTCAGCATGAAACAGATGGTAAAATTGTCCTTTTTCCTCATATCATGACATACATTTTATTGAAACGGTCCAAAAATTTTAATAAAATGTAAGGTATTGCATTATTTCATTATTTGTGAACGGATTGAATCATTGGAAAATGAGCAAAATTAACTAAATTAAAGAAGATTGACAAAGACAGCACAGAAGCAATTCACACACTATTAGTCCCGCACTCAGGGTTTTACATTAACACCCGCCAACCCGATAAATGCGGGTAGATTTCATCTTTGCCGGGTTAGACAGACAATCCCACTAGCCACTTTGGCTGGTTGAAAATAATTTTTCAATTGTAGTTTTCCTAAAAGCAGGGTTCAAATATATAACGATGACCCAATATGTGTGCAAATGTGATCTTAGAATCGAGAAGTAAAATAATTGTGATCACGCGAGCAGAAGAAAGCAAGTGAATACCGAATGAGAGAATGATGATCACTTGCGCTAACAGCTGATGATGCGCAGTGATGCGCTGTAACAGTGATGCGCTTGACTGCTTAAAGCCTGATTTATACTTCTGCGTCAAGTGACCGGCGTAACCCACGGCGCAGGCAACGCGCGTGGCTGTGCATTTATACTTCTGCGCACTGTCTCTGTCGGTCTGCATTAACACTTCCGAAACGCTAGTGGGCAGTGAGGTGTTAATGTTCCTCTGTGTCGAGTTTCTTCTCTGGTTTTTTGCTTTTCCTGAACACTTCCGGGATGTACAAGTGGCTCAAACTCGCTCGTTTTGAGGCAGGAACCGGCGGACGTGCAACAACTTTAACTATGAGGTAAACACAAAACAAAACTTTCCATCCGGAGCTCCTTCATGGGACTCCACACTTGTAAACAATCGCTCGCGCCATTCGCGCGGCTCTCGGTCCCGCCCAGACTCGTCAGCGCTACCAAGCCGACCAATCACAGAGCTTACGCTACGCGTCGTTGCGACGTGTAGTTACATTTTTTGAGAGGTGCACGTCATTGACGTCGATGGCCACGGCGAAGGGCTATGCGTCAGCGCCGTAGCATACCCCGGTGTTTGACGCAGAAGTATAAATCAGCCTTTAAGGCGTGCACGCGACTGCTTAACGCGTGCGCGCTCCCGAATCGTGAAGCAACCGTGTCTGGAACAGGTTCTGGAAACGCAACTGTCATCGGTTCTCTTTCAATTAAACTACACAAAAAGTGATGAACATGCATCCACAGTCCTGATGCTTTTAAGAGCTCAAAATGTGTCTTTTTGTAAGCAGCACCTGTTGCTTTCACTTTGAACTGATTATTAAATTGCCTAAAAAGTTAACCGTGAACATGTGATCTTCCTTTTATTATCACACACGGTATGTTTCACCTGCTTTCAGTTGCTTACGGTTTTATTTGCTTTAATTTTTGTTAAACTGGTTTAATTATCTTTTCTTTTCTTTTCTTTTATTTTTTTAAACATTGCTTTAATGGGAGATTAACTCTCCATTTATGTGCAGTTAACTGGTGATCCGAGAGATCTTTAGCCACGACAGATTACTGTGCATATTTTTGATACATGACAATAATTATTTTTTAAAAGTCAATTGCTTTTCTTTCTTTTTTACGAAAAGTTTTGTTAAATAAAAAGTATAGTATACAGCTATATTTTGCTTGTTTTGACACATAAAAAATTTGTGGCTAATTAATAATTATTGTTTAGTGTGGTTATAGAGATAAATTTGGTAAATCGTTAATTCTGAGCTGTAAAATGTCATGTGAAATAAAAACTAATTGCAATATGACACTATGAAACCATGACTCCTTTGCTCATGCTCATTGAGCAAACTCATACTCGACTCGCAAAAAGTGAAATGAATGGGGACGCATGTGGACATAACACACAATTTAAATCAAGTAATTTTAGCATGACAACGTCAAATTCATGCATATAAAATATATTTTCCCAACAACAAAATTGTGGCTAGTGAAAATGCAGCGTGGCTAGTAACATTGGAAAACTACTAGCCACAGTGGCTGGTGATTAAAAAAAGTTAATGTAAAGCCCTGCCCGCAATAAAGGACTGATAGCCCTGCCCTAAAGGCATTCCATGTGACCAGAAGTGAAGAAAAGGTGGGAGAAGCAAGGTTATGGTGTTCGATTAAAGATAATGAGTGAATCTCTCGATTTATGTCCACCAATTCTGAAAGCATGTCCCATGTATATGTCATGTCAAAACCAGACAAATGTTTAGTCTGCAAAAGTGTTGAACTAGTCCCTCAGTTGCTGTCAGTGGTCGAAACAACAAGGTTACTTTGATGTGTGTTTCAATGCTCATATCAACACGCTTGCTGTAAATAGTCCCGGGATGCCATGTGCATTCCCAGGCCTTTAATTCAGGCCTGTAAAGTCAGTCACTAGGCCAGTGCACAGCTGCAGACACACTGGCCTGTAAAACAGTTATGTCTGTGCCAGGACAGATCAAGTGTCTGAGCTCTGGGTGTGACTTCTCCCTGAAGATTTGGGAACATGGCCTTCGGTGGACACATCAGATGCTATCCTGGGCAGGAACCAGATCCCTTATCAAGGTTTCCATTGTTCAAAGCAACTCCCATACACATAACGGCTTTTTACACTGGGGTAGTTCACCCAAAAATGATATTCTGATATGAATTACTCATTCTTTTTCTCAGAGATGGGTTTCGGCTGAAAGGGCATTCTCTGCGTAAAAATGTGTTGGATAAGTTGGCGGTTCATTCCGCTGTGGCGACCCCCGGATTAATAAAAGGACTAAGCCAAAAAGAAAATGAATGAATCGGCTTAGTCCCTTTATTAATCTGGGGTCGCCACAGCAGAATGAACCGCCAACTTATCCAGCAAGTTTTTACGCAGCGGATGCCCTTCCAGCTGCAACCCATCTCTGGGAAACATCCACACACACATTCACACACACACTCAAGCCTACCCAATTCACCTGTACCGCACGTCTTTGGATTGTGGGGGAAACCGGAGCACCCAGAGGAAACCCACGCAAAGGCAGGGAGAACATGCAAACTCCACATGGAAACGCCAACTGAGCCGAGGTTCGAACCAGCAAACTTCTTGCTGTGAGGCGACAACACTACCTACTGTGCCACTGCCTCGCCCCAAATGAATGAATTACTCATTCTTTACTTGTTACAAACCAAACACAAAAGAAATATCCGTAAAGAAAGCTGGAAACCTGTAACCATTAACTTCCACTGTATTTGTTTTTCCTACTATTGTATTTTATGGTTATTGCTTGATTGTTACTCTCATGAACACGCATTCTATACTATACAGAAGAAAAGAAATTGTTGAGTCAAGTTGTTTTTTTTTTTTTTTTATGTGTCACAAAGCTTGATAAAATTCTTGTGGAACCAGTGAAGGCATATAACCTGTTTTGAGGATGTTTTTTTTTTTTTTAAACTTTGAGTGGTGACACGGTGGCTCAGTGGGTAGCACTGTTGCCTCACAGCAAGACGGTTGCTGGTAGGTTTCCTCCGGGTGCTCTGCAAGTCCAAAGACAAGCGATATAAGTGTATTGAATAAGCTAAATTGGCCGTAGTGTATGTGTGTAAATGCAAGTGTGTGTGTTTCCCAGTGCTGGGTTGCAGCTGGAAGGGCATCCACTGCGTAAAACAAAAGCTGGATAAGTTGGCAGTTCATTCTGCTGTGGCGACCCAGGTTGAATAAAGGGACTAAGTCGAATATGAATATGAATAATGAATAAATGAATGAATGAATAAAACTGTTGCTGTCTATTATGGATGAGAGAGCTCTCAGATTTCATCTAAAATTTCTTAATTTGCATTTTGAAGATGAACAAAGGTCTCAAAGGTTTGATATTATATGAGCTTCAGTAATTAATAACAGAATTTTCATTTTTGGGTACACTAATTGGTTAACCCAACATTATCATTGTTTTAAACAGATTTTTACCCAGTGTAAAAGAATGATTGACACATATTTTTGCCTTGGGTTATGAAACGTTGTTTGAGAGCAGTGTTAGCCACACTTTTGTGGTGTCAATTCCACATTGTGGACCCAAATATGTCCAGTGTGAAACGGTGTAATGTTAGATTGTTATAGATGGATATTATGGATGATATTTCAGTGTCTTCTAGTCTCTTGTTTTAGACGGGCACAAGAACAGCCCAGATTGGATTGAATTACATTTACAGTCCATGAATAATCCATTCAAGAAAGACTTCTTATCCTCAAACAATTAGCTCTATGAAGATGCAAAATATTAGCACCAATATGTAAACATGATTGCATGCTGTGTTCATCCAATCAACATCACTGACACGGCAAACATACAAATAAGAAAGTTAACCTGGGAGTTTAAGAACATGCAGTTTTAAACATCAGCTTACCAACTAATCCAGCATTTACAGTTAACCCTGGTTAAAGTATGAACATTAATAAATGTTTAAGGTCACTTTATATTGATGGTTCGTCTGTTGAATTTAAGTTACATGCCAACTTAGTGGGGGGTGGGGGGGGGGTGATAGAAATTAGGCAGATAACGTTTATATGTTCATCTTAATGGCAACTGTGTAAATAATTATCGATAAGATGCTTATGATAAGCCGTTGTTTGTTTACCTTCAAGCTTTGCGTGTGCCCGTGAAACAGCCCATGAGCGCCAGAACACACATATCATGTACATCTCGACATGGCAACAGGGTTTTCAGCGCTGTGTTAGCGATCTCTGGGTATTCTGCCATTACTTTAATCCAGAACACCGGCAGAGTTGTTGTCTCGAACACTGTTTTAAGGCCGCCGTCATTTACGATCTCCAGCAATTGGTCTACTTGCACGGACATGCTGGATTCAGCTGGTTTGTTGACAAATGGGTCACGTATCCATTCCCTAGCCGTTCGTGGGTCCTTTGAGGTTGGGAAGTAGCACTCAAACTCCTTTAACAGCGAAGACTGATGATCGGGCACCAGCTTGCTGAGTGAGGGCGCAGGCTCAGTCTCACACAAAATCCCCGCTAATGTTTGAAACATGTCCAATATGCCTCAGTTTGGCTTTAATTGCAGCTAATAACTTAAAGATAATTAATTCTTGTGGCCCGGTACTGATTGATCCACGGACCGGTACCGGTCTGCGGCCCGGGGGTTGGGGACCACTGAGTTAAATGTCTGTTGAAGGAGCAGTATCAACAGATATTAAGCAGTCTACTAATACTCAAACAGACCATCAAAATAAAGTGTTAGCATTTTAAAACATGATTCTGTTTGTCGTGTGTTTAGAATAATCCAGGGTTAACAAGTTCAAGTGTGAAAAGCCATGTAGAGTTACCACATAGCTACCACAGGCATCTAAGAACAAGACAGAAGCTGTGTGTCATGAAAGTGGAGCATTTTACATCTCGGTTTACTGATTCAGAAATGAGCCTCCCATCTTTTATCACACAAGATAATCAGCTTAAGATAATATCTATAACATACAAATCAAAGTGTCGAGGCTGCGGAGTGGTCACTGATCTCAAACATCCCAAGACCAACAGTGTAGTCATTTTACCCTGTCAATGTACCTACAGCACCTTTAAAAATAGTTGTGAAATAAGCACACACTGCTACTCTACTGTCCGTGGTGGCCTGACATGCACAGCTGTGTGACTGCTGCCATTCTTACCTTCAGCCCCAGTCAATGCCATCTTAACTTCGGCTGTTCTTGGCGGCCACACTTCAGATGTGTTATCAGCTATATGTTTGTGTGTGCATGCGTTCGACACGGGCCATGTCCAGTCACACTCTGCCAAACTGCTGTTGTCTGACCTCTGTTTTGTTTTCTTGGGGTGGTCTCTCCCTCACTCTCTCTCTCTATTTAAAGAGGTCGAAAGCCTCACGTCCACAGAGCTACTAATCCTTTGAATATGTCACCACCGCCTGTCAACAAAAAAAGTGACCCTGGATCCTACTGAGAACCGCGTGCATACTGAACCTTGCTCAATCCATCCCCATCACATACATAGATACATACATTTCTCAACTCTTTAAGCTTTACTACATCACTCTTCCACCCCATAAATCCCCGAGCTGATCTCCGAAACACAACGTCAATGGAATCTGTAACCAAAAGAGCATCCCCCCACTAGAACAGCCCCTCTAATCCCAGCACTGACCTTGCTTTTAGGCACATATCATTTCAGCCCCAGATAAACAGTCCTACATGGAGCATCATGTCACTAAAAGTCCTGAGGTAATCACCCCCTGAATCTGACACCCCCCGCTTACCTCAGAGCTTACATCTGAGTGTTGACAGAAAGGGAGCTGTTCGTGTTGTCCCAAAGCATGGGAGCATGCCTAACATCTATTTGTATCACATCCATTTGAAACCATTGAGCAAACAAGCCATACAGCTCATTGTCTTCTCAAACACAGCATGATCCACTTCTGCATATACACACACACACATGGCCTAATATAGACTGTAAAAGCAAAGGGTTTACCTGTTGTCCTTTATGTTTCGGTAATCGTTCGGTAATGCTCCAACTGCAAAAACCCACCCAACCAATGCTGTCAGACCAAGTGCGCGTGGCAGCCTGACCTGAAACTTGGAGACAGGTCACGTGGACGCGCTACAATCCTAGTGATGTGTTGGGTATTATTTCAAGCTGCTGGGGCGGGAGCTGGGGGGGAGGAACTGGAAGTGGATTTGTCTGTACGGAATTAAGGTGCAGCTTGAATATCTCTCCATCTCTCCCTCGTATCGATCATAGGGACTTCTGGATCATGTGACACTCGGATTTGAGGGTCTGTGCGGTGCAAAGCTTTATGAGAGATTAATGCAGTACGGGCAGGTCTTAATGGCTTCAGCTTCAGAGTTGATGAGTATATGAGCTAAACCTCAGCTGCTCAGCTGCGATCTGTAACATAAGCTGTGCAAGTCTGTTCAAGGGCCTTGCTACAGTACACTGAGGCTGTAAATGCTTGTGTAAATAATGAATGGCTACCACTCTGTTTTCTTGCACCTGTGGGTCTGTTTGATGAAGCACCGACTGCACAAATTATATCGGGTTGTATATTAGCATTTGAGCATCAAGCTAAAAGAGTTTAACAAAAGAACACCCTTTGTAAGGACACGACTTATCCTTATTTAAGATATTTTAGTTTGTATTATATAAAATCAGTAATTATACATAGCACCAAACCCCACCTCTAAACCTAACCGTACTCAGGGACAAGAAAAACGTACAGTACTAAAAGGTTACGAATTGCTGTGAGATAGCCTTGGTATTTGTACACTCACCGGCCACTTTAATAGGTACACCTGTCCAACTGCTCGTTAACGCAAGTTTCTAATCAGTCAATCACATGGCAGCAACTCATTGAATTTAGGCATGTAGTCATGGTCAAGACGATCTGCTGCAGTTAAAACTGAGCATCAGAATGGGGAAGAAAGGTAATTTAAGTGACTTTGAATGTGGCATGGTTGCTGATGCCAGACGGGCTGGTCTGAGTATTTCAGAAACTGCTGATTTACTGGGGTTTTCATGCACAACCATCTCTAGGGTTTACAGAGAATGGTCAGAAAAAAAGGAAAATATCCAGTGAGTGGCAGTTCTGTAGGCGCAAATGCCTTGTAGATGCCAGAAGTCAGAGGAGAATGGCTAGACTGGTTCGAGCTGATAGGAAGGCAACAGTAACTCAAATAACCACTCATTACAACCGAGATATGCAGAAGAGCATCTCTGAAGCTTGACGCAGATTGGCTACAGCAGCAGAAGACCACACCGGGTGCCACTCCTGTCAGCTAAGAACAGGAAACTGATGCTACAATTCACACAGGCTCACCAAAATTGGACAATAGAAGATTGGAGAAACATTGCCTTGTCTGATGACTCTCATATTCTGCTGCGACATTCGGATGGTAGGGTCAGAATTTGGCATCAACAACTAAAAGCATGGATCCATTCTGCCTTGTATCAACGGTTCAGGCTGGTGGTGGTGGTGTAATGGTGTGGGGGTTATTTTCTTGGCACCCTTTGGGCCCATTAGTACCAAATGAGTACTCAAATGGCCTCTACAGTCACCAGAACTCAATCCAATAGAGCACCTTTGGGATGTGATGGAATGAGAGATTCACATCGTGGATGTGCAGCCGACAAATCTGCAGCAACTGTGTGATGCTATGAATAAATAAATTTTACTGTGATTAGGTTAACTCTATTACTGTGAATTTCCTCTTCACTTTTTTAAAACAATAATATGATAAAATGCATAAAAATAAGTTTTGAGGTTAGCATCTTGAGCTAAAGCACAAAGTTGTGGAAATGTCAATTCTGTAAGTGAAAAAAATAACCAAATCAAATGTTCCCTATCACATTTAAGCATTCTGCATTATTTTACATTAACAATGTATTCAGTTTACTATACTTTAAAATATACATTTGTTTTATGTCATTGCAGTTTAAAAAAAGTTCATGTAAAATGGTTGAAATGTGGCCACAATTCTTGATTTAAACATGCACTGTATAATATATACAGTAATACCTCTTAGTGCTTGCTGACGTATGTAAAGACTACCGTGAGAGCAGTGCGAGATTCAATCTTCAGTGCAAATCAAATATTTCCGAAGGAAATGAGTATGAGATAAAAACTTTGTTAATATAGTTGGAGAACAATTTGTAGCTGGGGTGCAGATAGGAATCAGAGGACCAGTGTTTGTACTAATCTTAATCTAAAACTGCTAGCTTTTCTCTTTTACTAATGAAACTATTCTACTTCATTGCCATTTCACTGTGTCATACCAACATCTAACTTGTACTTGTACAATTAAATCATATTGCTACATCACTATCTCCTTAGAATGAATTAAGTAGTGTTTTGGATTAAGCAATGTTTCTTTTTAGGACTCTGATAACATTCATTGTTTCTCTCATTTGGTAAGAATCAGACACAATTTCTGCACTGAACAATTATTTGATAAAAAAGGGTTGCAATGACAAAAGAATCCCATTAAAAACAATTCTTGAAGGAGAATATGAAGATAGGGATATGATAAAATCTCACCCTTTCCCAAACATGGACTGGAGAGCTGCTTCGCAATGGGTGTCTGGAGTCTTCGCATCATTTCCTGTGTGCTCAGGCCTGGAGCATAGCAGAAATGATCGATGAGTATTTCCTACATTAGTATTTTTAAAACAGATTTAATGCAGTTTTGTCTCTTTTTCACCATTAATAGATTGTTGCAAAAATAACAATAATAAATGATAACAAAACAGTCAAATGTATGATATTAATAAACATTGTTACAATTACTGAAGATCAAGACAAATGTACATTGATTAGTATCTGGATAAATCTTAGTAATCTTATTGAAGCACTTACCCGGCTGCATATCTTACAGAAATATGTGTCCTCTGCTGCTGCACTGCAATTATAAACCCATGAAGTTCTCCCTGGAAAGAAATGACAGGGGAAAACAACATGCTCAGTTCTGCCCCCCAGTGATGCCTGAGATATGGCACGTCAAATTGACTTCACAGTGAGAAAGAGACTATCAGAACATCAACCAGTCTTCCACCTCACATCTACAGTAAGTGTCAAATTACATTTACATTAAGATTTTTTTTTCTTTAAGAGATGTTTAGCTTTTTAAGTAAGTAGATATTGGTTTAAAGAGATGTATTATGTGTTATCGTGCTGACATCCTTTCTTCCTTTGTCATAATTCATTATTGCCCCCTTGTGGGGATGTGTACAAGTGTCCTCGAATAACAATAGTGTTAAAAATGTATAGATGTAATTATTTTCGTAATTCGTGCCCACATATTTTTGACCCCTTCAATCAGTCTTATTAATTAATTAATTAATTAATTAATTAATTCATTCATTCATTCATTCATTCATTCATTCATTCATTCATTCATTCATTCATTCATTCATTAATTCATTCATTCATTCATTCATTTATTTATTTAAATGTCTAAATATATGTTGATGCAGTTTTTATTTTCGTTTCAGTAATAATATGGAACAATATTTATATTTTAGATTGTGTTGATTTAATGATTATGTACAATACAATAAAAAAGTGTTGTTTTTTGGTCTTTGAGTGAATGTATTATGTGAGAGAGCTACTGTAGATTTGTTTCCCAAACATTAATGGATTTGTACTGTAAACCTTAAAAAAAAGTAGAGCATTGTAGAGCAAAATAAGTAGCATTTTTTTTCAGATTCTATAATCTCTACAGATTTTTTTTTCTTTCAAGAGTTCACACTTAGCTGATAATCAATAAAGCGTATTTGGCATGCTGTCCCGGGAGAGAGCCCTGAGCTCGTAATATCCTCGAGCCCGGGGCTCCCTCCCGTTAGAAGGGCGAGAGGGGAATTCGAGGTCAGGTAGGTCTCGAGAACTCCCCTGCTTGTCACCGTGAGAAGTGTAACTCAGGTTGTATTGGGTGATAATTTGTTTTAGTCGATTGCTATGGTTTATGTTTTTGGACGGTGGGAGGAAACCGGGGAACCCGGGGAAAACCCACGCGAACACGGGGAGAACATGCAAACTCCACACAGAAACACCAACCAGCCCGATGGGTTGGACTAGCGGTGTTCTTGCTGTGAGGCAACAGTGCTAGCCACTGGGCCACCGTGTCGCCCGATCAGAAAAAGTGGGAGGATGTAGGGGTGGAAGGGGGGGAGCTTCAAGACGAAGATGACTGGAGTGGAAAACTCAGGTTATTTATAATGCTTCCGTAATCATCTAATAGGGCTGATTACGGAGCTAACAAGGAGCCAGCCGTGTTGATTATAAGCACGTGATCCTCTCGAAATTAGTTTATGAATAAACCACACAAAGTTCAGCACAGAAAGGGTAATCAAAAAAAAAAAAAAAATATATATATATATATATATATATATATATATATATATATATATATATATATATATATATATATATATATATATATATATATAAAGTCAATCATATGAAAGCAACTGATACTATTGAAGCCATTTGATTATTGTGAACCCATTGTCATGTTCAAGCGATCATGTTGCCATCCAAGACCTGTAAAGTGATGATCCCAAGGTTTCATAATCCTGGACCAGGCCGTATCCTAAGCTGATGCTGTGGTCATCATG